AACAACACTAATGTCAAAGGCACCTTGAACACGCTATTCTTCTCAAATCACGTTTTGAGTGCATGCTGAGTCTTAACAACCCCAGGGTAAGAAAATACCTCCAACCAACATTTTTTCCCCTGTGTACTTTCTTTCACAAATGGAGGAAACACAAATACACCCCATCCAAAGTCCACGTCTGGCCGGCACACAAACAAGTGCCACAGACAAAAACACTCGGCCTGTGATAAATAACCGGTTCCCGTCACTCTAAAAGAGAGGAACACTCCAAGACGACATGCCAACCATCAAGATTGGGAGATTAATAATTATGACTGATGAAGTATTACAATGACAAAGCTAAGGCTGTGATTAGAATGAAGGTGTCTGTTTGTGCAGTCTTTTTAAATGGCCTCCATTTTTAATACAAGTAAAGAGTTGTGAAAGTTACAAGGCACTAAGGCAGAAGCTGACAGATATTTCATAAAATAAAATCATTTAATTTCATCCACTTTTTTTATAGTGTTTGTGCACTATTCGTTACAATCATGTTACAGAGTTCTTTTTTTTTCAATTAATATTTGTAATTGGTAACTTTTTCAGTTAATTAACACTGAAGTGTTCCAACGGTTACACCTCTATGTTCCGACAGCCCTATGTTCCGACTGCACATATTCCTATTCCTAACCCTAACCCTAACCGGGAGTAACACAATCTAAGTTGTCGGAACATAGGAGTATTGGAACATAGAGCAGTCACCGTTCCAACAGTATAGTATTCAGATGACTTTAGTACTGTACCACCATTGTTAACAGTCCTACAAATATACGGAACGAGTATTATGTGTTATTTTTATCACACCACAGCTACAGACAGGTACTGCGGGTTGAAATTTACAAACCCGTTCTCTGGTCATTTTTTGAGAATGAACAATCAACATTTATTTGTGCAGAAAAAAAAAGAGATTAAAATGTCTCAAAATAGGCACACGAAATACATCAATTATGAACTAGTCACTGCTCTTCTGTTGAAATGGCAGTAAACCTATACAATAAATCCTCAGATCTACACAAAACCACAATCAACAAAACTCTACCACGCAGTCATAAATCTTGCAGTAGGATTTATAAATAAATTCACCAGGACTTCCAAATAAGGCCCTAGGACCACCTGCCCAGCTATTTCCGTTGAGTTTTAGGGTCCCTACTCCAACAACATTCCAGGCACATTATTAACCTCACCCCATGTCACCCTCTAAGGTCCCAGAGGGGCAACAATCTTGCTGAAAAATTATGTGGGATCCCCAAACGGTGATTCATCCGCCGGAAGATGAGGGCTGGGCCTCGACCAATGATAAGGCTTTGCTACATAATGAGCAAGAAAGGTCTTAAAACTGTTCTCAAAAAGGTGTTTCAAATTAATGTGCAAGGCTCCACAATAACATTTATTTTCTACACTTAGACTACCAAACCTCTTGGAAAAAAATGTATGAAGACGCTTAGTGAAATATACATAATTTACATAATCTGCGGTCTTACATGTAAAACAGTAATTTTAATGAAAAGCCCAGTGTACTGACTGCTCTTGAACACTTGTAAGTTTTCATTTCTAGATTTAAGGAATGTTTTGTTTTTAATTGTCTTATTGGTCATAGTGTGTCAAATACAATTTTTTTAAATGGTGTGACAATAACTTGACATTTTGTTTTTAATTGTCTTATTGGTCATAGTGTGTCAAATCAAATTTTTTTAAATGGTGTGACAATAATATGACATATTTTAAATATGCGTTAATATTTTTTTCAATAAAATGTGGCACATGTTTGCACAATATATGTTCTACGTTATTGCCAAAATCCAATTCATTGTTTTCTGAAGAACGTGATGAATGAGATTTATATAAATGTTCTAAAGGTTAACATGTAAATCATGAACAGCAGGGAAACCAACTACGTGTATGTGTGAAATAAGAACATTCTTGTTTTTCAATTATTAAACAATTATTTACCAAAATGACTATTTAAAAAATGCCAATATCAACTTCATATGAGAATGTCTGAGCTGACACAAACAACCATTATGATCTCATTTCTCAATTATTCCCCGGCCACCTCTCTAAACCCCTGGCACGGTCTTGTTTTGATAACGAGCCATTTATTATGATACAATCAGTCGGTTTCATTGTGGTTTGAACGGGGCGACAATGCGCAGTGTCATTCTCAAGTGCACTGCCAGTGCCATTGTTACGCACTCCTAGTTTTTCATTGACTACAGAATGCATTGCATGCAACGCCTTGTTTTTTTTGGTCAAAGTTCAGCGCCAAGGTTTCGAGGCGCCGGCAATCGCAATAAAACTTCGAATGCCTTTCATCGCAAACACACTTCATCACAAATGTATTAAACCGTTAAGTTCGACATGGGAAAACCCTTGTTGCGTTTAAATGTATTACACTCTTGCTCAAGAATGTTTCGTTTTGAAATGGTATTATGCACACTTACCGGTACTTGGTTCTAGGTTTCATTTTTTTATTGAGTACAATGGCAATGCCTAGGACATGCATATTTTGCACTTATGTTGACTATAGTTTCGAGTCAACTCAAGGAATGGAATAGTTTCAGTACAAAACACTTCAACAAATTGCCAGTAACAAGGAAATAAAGTGTTTTTTTTTTTATTTTAGTACTAGCAAATTAGTGCTATAATTTCAGTTGAAGAGCAATTCATTCCATGGGGGGAAAAACCTACATTCCTTGTGGCTGTTGTGCAATCAACAATTTCTGACCAAATTCAAAACTTGAATCATTTAATATAATAAAATATCTACAATCACAAACACAAACTAATACATGTAATGACAAAGCCTCAAAACGAACCTCTGGCACATACGATTTCGAGTATTGATATTTTGCCCTTGACTGTCACACCCCCCACCTCAAAATATTCTTCTAAGTTCTATCTTTTGATGATTTTCATATCTTTCCATCTAAAGGATCTTTATGCGTGTACATGCACATAAAGTGCAGCAATCAGCTTTTTTAGAGTAAATAATCACCTCGTAAAATATAGGGAAATCCCATTCAATCATCGCTACAAAAAAAGCCATATTCACAGGTGAAAAAAAAAACCCTTCGAATCTATATATTCCAAACAGTTGGCCACATTCCAAATCCCTGTACTACCAGTATATCTCTCAATTTAGCACAAAATAAATACAATAGCCCATTGCTCTGTAGACAGGCATTTTGAAATTAATACCCAGCTCGTAAAATAAAATGGAGGGGGAAACCCTATGAAATCATATGCCCAAAAGGTAGTGATCAAATAGCATAAAAATAGGCCTTTTCACACTGTCCAAAATCTCCGGGTTGGAACCGGTTCCAACCCCGAGATTTTTTTCAACCCTTTTCCCACTTCTAAAGTTTCAACCCGGTTCCGACCTGGGTAGAGTGCTCTAGCCGGATCGAAATCAACCCTGGGAGGGACCAGGGTTGAAAATCTCAACCCGGATCGAAATTGCATTTTTCGGCGTGAACCGTGTCGAAAATGATAGTGTGAACCGCCCCGGGTTGAGTCACTCACGGCCGATCCGTGTTGAGTCGAGGCCGACATTTTACCGAAAATCTGACACGCCGAGCATAATATTTCCCTCCACCACTATCGCCGTCACAAACACCGATCCCGAAACAATCGCTCCCTAATTATCATACAATAATGTATCGGTGTATGGAGCATCCTTTACCGAGTCTGGGCTTGTATTAGGTCCGCAAAATGTACCCCAAAAATGTACATTTCTAATGTTAAATAGAACGAATCGTCTAACGAAATGACCGGAGCCATTTTGGAAATATTGCACACAGCTGCGCTGGTGTCGTACAAAAATCGGACTCCCAAATCGGATTCGTTTACTCTCTTATTATTGGTCAAACCCTTGCACGTGACAGGTCCTTCTCCCAATAGGCATGCGCAATACTACCAATGAGTCCGTATTTCACAGAGTAGTAAATTCACGCTGCACACCGGCCTGTCCGTGAGCCTCGTGCGTCGCAATGCATTATGGGATTGAGAAAATCATCGCAGCGCCCTGTGCCGAATGCGATCCGTGTCGAGAATTTGTAGTGTGAATTCACAGGGGCCGTAGCCGGATTGAACGTTACACGGTTCACGTAGCGGCCGTTCCCGTAAAGGACAGTGTGAACGTCGCGTCTCTCCGATCCGTGTCGAAAAATACTTGGGCTGAACCGGGTTGGATCCGGGTAGGTTTCAACACGGTTCGAAACGGAGATAGTGTGAAAAGGCCTAATGATCCCCTTTGAATTTGTTCAAATGGTTTGAAGTTGGACACATTCCAAATTCCATATTTGAAAGGATCCTGATTTACCACACAATAAATGCTCTGAGCAGTTTCAACCGCGACAAAAGGGGAAACCCCTTATCGCAATCACTTGCAGCTCCAAGTTAAAATGGGGTGCCATAAAAGGCCCGACGATCCGTTGTGCGTAAAAAAAAATTGCGTGGGCCAAAGAAATACGGTGGGCCCTTTGTCAATTCTATGTCCGTCTTGTGACTAACCACAGTTGTCACAGTTCACTGCAATGGGAACAAAATTTTGAAATTATCTTTGTTCGCATTTCTTAGGGAATTTTATGAATAAAGAAGCAAAATTGAAAGTATCGGCATAAAGATAACCACATCATGGCGTAAGGAGCTACACCTCAATTCATTGACAGTGTTTCCTGTTTATTGCAATTTTCTGAATCATGGTCTGATGCGTTGTCATAATTTCATTTGTTGTTTGTTTATGAACATTTTTGTTCACTCTCTACAGAAATGCAAAGTCACTTCCTGTGTATAAAACAGAACCTCCCAAGTTTCTTTCTGAAAAAAAATCAGTTCACCCTGTTTACATTCACCAAGCAAACTGAGCAAATGTCTCAATGCTGCCTGCAAAGTTCTACATGTAATTTGATGTATTGTATATTCCTCCATGGTCCTCCCCAGGGGGAGGGGAGTGTGTATCTCACCTTCTGTCACCTGGATGATGTGTGGGTGACGTAGTGATGACATCACTTCGATCTCTTGTCGTAATCGTCTCAGATCAGCTGCATTGTCAATCTTGCTCTTAGGGATGCATTTGATAGCAACCTGCAAAACGGACAAAAATTTATTTGAAAAAAAAAAAATTATTATTGACAGTTTGACACCCTACAAATAATTAATTTATATCTACCCAGTATATTTAACAAAAATATTGTGTTAAACTTTTACCTGATGACAATTATTCATGGCAAAACACATCAAATTCAGCGAATATGTAAGGGAAAATGGACTTAAAAAAACAGTTTTGCTATCAAAACAATTTAATCTGTAAAATAGGATTGTGTGCATCTCCAGGCTATTTTAATTTAACATTTTTAGGGTGATTTGTTTTCTATAAATTCTTGTCATACAATCTTTATTATCAACATTGTGTGCAGATATTTTACCCATTTCCGATCGTTTTCTAGACTAAATATCTGTTGCAAGGGATGGATTTAAAGGTATCCATTTCAAGCTGACCCAAACATCATGTTGAAGGATAAAACCCACAACAACACAACATCGATTTTATTTCATTTTCCAAAAGCTGACCGTGAATGGGATTACACCTCACTAGGAATCAATGCACACAGACCTTCAAATAGTCTTTACATCAGTGGCATGTGGCATGTCTGGCTATTGTTCAAACCAGAGGCCATTTGGTATCTATTGTGATTGTGTTCTAACTCCACCTGTTCAGCATAGCTCCTGGGGTTGCTACAACCACAGATACACCTGTACACACTTGTCTCAGAGTCTGGGTTGCCACAGCTGAACAATGGGCCAGATATGCTTGGTATGCAGGGGATAGATAATAAGATTGACAGGGTCCTTATGAAACCTTGGAAGACATCCTGTTTAATGGGGCATGGAGAGGAGGGAACGAGGCAGATGTTTCTATCCAAAGGGATTTTTCACACTTGATCAACAGGGATGGTTTGGCAGGAATGTACCCACTGTGTATGTAACCATGGCAAGAAGTGGGGGTGATGAGGGGTCTGTAGTGGTGTTGGTTTTTCCCTTCAATAAGAAGAATTTCTTTAAGATTTATTTAAGTGGACTTCTTCTTTTATTAACAAAGCATGCTTGCATTCCTTAGACCAACACTTCACTGTGTCTAAAAAAATATTGCACAACATCTGCAAACAGATGCAAATTTAACAAGCATCTGGAATTTTGCACGAATTCCTTAATTTAATGCAGATTCCAAATGCTACTTAAAGAATAAGATGCATTTACACTTAACAAGGCGAAGGACGAACTGATTTGCATGATCTCTAAAGATGATGTCCATCGGGAAAAAATAATTATTCCTATCCTAGCTAGTGGTACATCATGTAGAGGCTACAAAGTACAAACAATTTTTAAATTCGACAAATGTTCAACTTATAAATTTTTAAATTCAAGAAAAATTACAATTATTATTTAAAAAAATTGAACTTGATTTAAGTTGATAAATCATAGATAGAGCACTTTCATGAACGTGCACACAAAAGTTTATTGTGCATTCCGAGGTTGTGGAAATAATTTAAATGATTAAGTAAGTCAGATATTTAAAGACAAATTTGATCATGAATGCTCACTGCAAAATTTGTTAAAGAAATCAGCAATATGACAAACAGGACAAAGAAATAGAAATTGAAGCAAAGCTCAAATGTCAAACCTTTAATATAAGGCATGTAAGGTGCAATCATGGTGTAAAAATCTAACAAGAATTTAAAATTAAAAATAATAATTTAATTCTGAATGTAATTATGGTTAAAAATTACAATTACAAACAATTCACGTTAATATTACTACAAAGACATAGGCCTACAACTACCTGAAGTTAGGTTTTTATGTACAACTGAAAAATTGAAGGCGTCAGCTGGATCAAAATAAAAACAAACTTAATTTATTTATTTATTTTAAATTAAGGGAAAAACATCTCACCTCCTCCTTGGTATCTAGCTGAACAGCCAGCTTGACTTTCCCGTAGGTACCACTTCCCAGCGTCCGCACAAACTCAAACCGGTGGCTCAGCTTGTGACGGTGTCGGTGCCGGATAGTAGAGGCGGGGCCAACCTCTCGCCTCCTACTCATCTTCTTGATGCTGCTGCTCCGCGCCGAGGAGGATGCTGAGGATGCGAATGAGGCAGGACAGGGGGAGTGTTCTCCATCCGACCCTGACGAAGCAGCCGATGAGATAGAATCATCTGATCCTGCCATCCTCCAATTGGAATGTTTCTCAAGTTCAATATTGCCTGAAAATGTACTACTTTTTTTTCGGAGACCACTTAGTCTTGCCCGAAATGATGCAGTCCGCGTATCCAAGCGATCAATTCAACAAAATGTGGTGCACCTGATACAGTGGTAGTGTTTGAAGTAAACATTCATTGTCTGCTCACAGGTGTGTTCGCGAGAAAATGAGAAGAACAAATGCCGATCACCAACCACATCATGTCTGTATTTAAGTGACGTAAATTTAGCACGACCATCTAGCGAAATATTCAGTCCTTCCTGCACTTCGGATATCGATCTATGCATGCATGTATCCGTGCCAGCTTTTGATTCTAGCGATCATTTTCCGGCCGGCTCGAGCTGTCTGGCTAGGCACAAACACACGGTCAGCCTTCAATCTAGCCCCGCCTAGCCTTGGCATAAAGAACGTAAACAAAAGATCTGGAGTTTCCGATTGGCTAGATTCTAGTCGGTGACATGATCCGATTCGTACAGTACAAAGATCGCGTACGTACATGTACGTACGTACGCTCAGCACGAAAGATGCTCTGCGATTATCCGTGTGCATGTGGTAGTGGATGAAATCGCAAATGAGTAGAACGGTCAAGATGAAGCCCGCCCTCTTTGCCTGGGAAGTAGACACAGCGGTAACATTTTCAGCGAAAGGGGGCGCAATATTTTTCAAGCAGCCACGTCCCACGGGCATTGTTTTAGTCCCCTTTTCCCATACCTGTCTTCTTTTTCACTAGCACTGTGCACCGTGCACACGGCCGGAGAGGGGCACAGAGGTGGAACTCGGACACGGTATCAAATATATCACGAAAAATAGGGGGAAATGGGGGAGGGGATTAAAACTTGATAGACCCACCACTGACGCCATGCATGCAGGCTGGCTTCTAGTTCTACGGAGAGATCGAGACTGAATATGGTCGGGCCCACTTTATAACTTAATGGGCTCATACGATGTAATTCTTTCAATGCAACCCTTGAAACTGCACCTTTGTGTCCAAAGTTAACCATTTTTCAATTTCGTTTTGCCGTTGTTAAGGGTATTTTTTGTACCTTTTGTGGTTTTTTTTTTAATGCTAATGCGAATTTCCAAAGTCATGAACAAAAGATAAGAGTGATGTCAATTCAGCTCAGCTCGCTAACTCAGCGCTGATTAGGCTGCACTGCTAGCAGACCAAAAAAACTCAATGTTGCAGCTATTTCAGCACCAAAAGCTGCTAGAATATTATTGGATATTTTGCTGTCGTGGATTTTCTTTCTTTGGTGATTCGTTGTTGTGTCAGTAGTGTACATGGCCGGCAGTAAGCCAATGAGCAAACCTTTTTCACAAATGTTTTCAAGGAACAAATTTTCGGGTTCAAAACTTGAACCGAAAACCCCTAAACTGAACAGTGTCTTCCGATCCTGCCTGCCTTTGGAATTACGTCACAGCAACAACACCCTCAGTTGTCCGGAAAAGCATGGAAAATATTGTAATGTTACATAAGTGCATTTTTCAATAAAATTAACCAAAGAGAGATGTCCAAGACTTTTCATACATTGAAGAGGAGTAGAAAGTTGCACAAAATTTGTCCCGAAGAAAAATTCATCTCATATTCACCGTTGCAGGAAATTGGGGGTCGGCCCCCTTTTCCGTAGGGGGGGGGGGGGGCATATCTATGCACTATGCAGGGTCATATTTTCAAGCAATAAAAGAAGCCTTTTTTCTTCTTTTCTTAATTCTTATCGGGCATATGCCTTAGTTTCACTCCTAGATGTCAGGCTTTCGAGATCAGAACTTCTGTTGTTACTAATTTTGCATTGCATATCGATACACCTCTGATCTGTAATATCCATAGAGCTATATTTAATATAGCTCTATGGTAATATCTGATCGGACTGAGCCCCCCCCCCCAAAAAAAAACCCCAACCCACTAAACTAAACGCCTTATTACCAGCCACGCCACTTTTTCTCCAACCATGGAGCTCCAGTCCAACATGCATGATTCCAGTCCAATATGATTCCTTCCTGAACTTTCCTTCTGATGGTTTTATTGAAAACACAACCTATCCGTCCAGCAAGTCTCGATCTTTTTTCAATCCGCTCATTTTACAAAATTATTAATGGTCGATTTTGTTTTTAAAAAAATGATTCTCCTATTTATCGCAAATATATGGAATGGTTGTGAGTGTTTTGTGTTTCGACCACAAGCCCTTGCGAAGAAGTTTAGAAGTTTTATTGATCTCCTTACATTTAAAAAAAAAAATTCATTCAGTGTTTCTCAGTATTTTCTGATGGCGCTTACGCGCCGCGCCGCGCCGGCGCCGCGCCTGAGCTCTCCGAACTCAAACACGTCGAGGCACGGCAGCTTGAACCAGGAAGATGCAACGGCTATTTTATGTTCTCAAACTCTCAAGCAGTAAATTGTCGTAAACAAATACAAGCATGACCCGACAAGTTGCCGAGCCGGTTGAACGTTCTCACCTCCTATTGGTCAGTTGTATGATTGAACTGAATGTTCATTTTGTGAGTGGATGAGGTCGAAGTACCTGTCTAGTCTTGTCGTGTAATATAAGTCGTTTTGTTTGTAGTAAAGGAAGTGAAAATCGTATAAATTAGGACGCTAAACCGCGGACTTTGCTCTCAACACCGCGTCTGATCCAAACTGATAGTGCTGGTTGTACTGCTGTGGTACGATTTGTGCACATGTGTTTCAGTGTAAACTAAATGTGGGTGGGGCGTAAACAACCGGGTACGTACGCACGCGTGAGCTGAATTCTTGCCAGGAAAAAGATTCTGCGGAAACATTGAACATCGCATGATCCTGGTTAAACCAGACGTATGAGGCTTTAAATTTGCTTATTTAATTAAGGTAAGTTTTCTACCTGGTTGTGGATCACGAACATGTGAAGTAGGGCCACAAAGTTCTCGTAATCTCATGTTTTGACGCTATTTTAATGCAGCATTGCTAGCTTGAGTAACTCCGTCACGCCCCAACTATCGCATCGGTCCCAACTATAGTTGGGACTGTCCCAACTATAGTGCGGCAGTTGGGTCGGCCCAACTATAGTTAGGACTGGAGTTGCGCCGGATGCTTCATGCTTGATAGATCTTGTTGGATTAAATGTTCCGTGGCGCTGGCACCGTGTATTCGTCGTGCATGCATGCCGCAAGGCTGGCCGGTCACGTGGCACTGCCTAGTTGGATGAGTTGTCCAGCTGCTGGGTTGATTGTCCAGCAACATTTTGCAAAATTCAAAGATTGCCATGGCCGGCCAACTAGTATAGATGGGCCCCACCCATAGCTAATGTCAAAGGTCCCAAGTAAAGTCGGACAGTATGTAACAGAGCTGTAGGGAATGTTTTATAGTCGTCGTACATCAATGTAAACTATAGTTGGGACCGCCAAATAAAAATATTGCGGTGGCCCAACTACAGATGGTCCCCACCCATAGATAATTTCATTGGTCCCAAGTAAAGTCAGATGTGTATTAGAGTTGTAGGGAATGTTTTATAATCGTACAACAATGTACACTATAGTTGGGACCGCAAAATAAAAAGATTGGAGTGGCCCAACTATAGATTCGCCCCATCAATAACTAATTTCAGTGGTCCCCAGTACAGTCAGACGTGTATCAGAGCTGAAGGGAACGTTTTACAGTTGTACATCAATGTAAACTATAGTTGGGACACCGCAAAATAAAAAGATCGGAGTGGCCCAACTATAGATGGGCCAGCCCAACAATGGAACTTACAGTTGGGACCGTCCCAACTATAGTTGGGCCTGTCCCAACTATAGTTGGGACGGTCCCAACTGTAGTTGGACCAGCCCAACTGTGGAACTACAGTTGGGACAGGCCCAACTATAGTTGGGACAGGCCCAACTATAGTTGGGACCGATGCGATAGTTGGGGCGTGACAACTCCAGGGGAGTACGTTATTCAAGCTAGAGTTACTCAAGCTACAGCATGCAGTGTCTGGGGGGAAACCAATGGCTGACATTCACTACCTTGTTGAACCCCGCAGATCCCCATAGCTCTTAGTCTGAGTATCACCCGTTTTCTACGCGGAGCCCTATCTCTCTGGTAAAACGTCTGACATCTCCTGACGACATATGATGTGACATGCAAATTTATGCAAGCCGTGCACCAGCCAATTGGAGTCGACTTTACTAAATCCAACACGTCATTTCATTCCCAAATCAGGACTAACGCTGTGATTGGTGAATTTGAATGCAGGGTTTATTTGTCGCACGCCGTGACTTTTTTTTTTATCCATGTATGACGTGCAGCGGGTGAATGACCGAAGACCCGATAGGCCTATAGAAAGCGGCCACTGATCTAGAAAATCAAGAGTCGGGGTCTTGCGTAATTAATCAGCAAATCTGTTCGTGCGTCATAGACCACGACATTCGTCGTGGTGTAATCATTACATAGACTATATAGTTCTACTTCTAGGGGTAGGGAGTCAACAATGTGGGGATATATTTTACTTGATGATACACTCCCTTCATCATCCACATATTAAGTGTGACCAAACATTGTGATCATCATTTTCCAATATTCCTGTATCATGTCAATGAATCCATTACAAAGGCGGATCCGTGGTAGTCTATCATGGCGAGAGCCACGGTCTATAAATTTGTGAACAGATTCGCTAATTAATTATGCAAGGCAACCGCATCTTGACCTCTAGATTTTGACCAATCAGCGGTCACTTTCTGTGTGGGGTCTTCGGCCATTCACCTTTGTCGCATCTAGACATTGATAAAAAAAAAACGTCAGACACTGCAAGTGCAACAAAGGATGTGTCACGTGGCTGTTGTTGAATTACAAAACACTGGATTCGACTTGACCTATCACAGTTTTTGGGAATGAAATGACATCACTGCGATTAGCCGGCACGCGGCTTGCATAAATCTACATGTCTAGACATATCAGACGTTATACAGGAGACTTGGTTCCATGGATAACGGGTGATACTCAGACTAGATCCCCAGTGGGGGTGGGGGAAATGACAGGGCCATGGTACCTCCCAAACATGATTGATATAATACACATACTGAGTACTATAGTTCAACCGGACAGAAGTGAAGACAACTGTTTATATATTGATGTTACTCACCGGCCCTTGCCCTCGTTTTTTTTTAGAAATGTTAATTAATTAACAGAGCGTGCATGCTAAGCAAATTTACGAGATATCCAATTGGACGCATTTTCAATTATCGCGAAGAAGTAGAAGTAGAAATAAGAAAAAGGGAAACTTCGGCAGTGCCCCCTCATGTCAAATGAGCCTCCCCCTCCCAAATGATAGGTGAGCAGATTCGGCGATTATTATGCAAAACAAGACTGGATCTTAATACCTTGAGATTCTGAACATTAAGCGGGCGCCTGCTATTGGGTCTTCAGTAACCCGTAGTATTACAAAAACTTGTCAGCCAAATTGACCAATCAACAGCTTTGTCCACATTTCTGATCAAAATGACGCCACAATTCCATTAAAGTTGACGTTGGTTATGTAGAGGGCTCTGGTGGACAACGGGTGATACTCTGACTACCCCACCCCACCACCTCTGAGTCTTATATGGAGATGTAAAATGCTGGCATAACATTTTGACCCTGTCACATTTCTTGATTTCCTACAGACAGCTCCAGTTAAAAAACAGTTTCTGATCATCAACTCACCATGCCTCGTAAACGAAAAGCTGCAGCGGCCAAAGCTGGAGGCAAAAAGAAGAAAGTAGAGGACCCCCCCGCTACCGACAGCAAGACTGATATCAAGAAGAAAGTAGAGGCTCTCAAGACTGCGGAGAAGGGGAAAAAGAAGACCTACGTCGTGGATAGCTACTACTTTGGCTCTGGCGCTGTAAGCAAAACATCCGAGACATATTCTTGTTTGTTTCCAATAGCTCATACCCCCGTGATTAGATTAAATTTTACCAGCATTGGATTGCTGGAGACTGATCTCAATCTCAAGTCAATATCAAACTGACTCAGGACGAATGCTTGTCAACTCGTACGCATGCCAATTCGTACACTAAACCAACTCGTATACGAGCCAACTTGTACGTAGGTCATCTCAGATTGTACTTCGGCAATAAAACGAGTGGAAGATTGCCTGTTGGTACATATATTATTTGTATAACACAAGCGAACCTGTGGCTACATCGTCCAACAACTAAAGTCTGTAATTTGAGAAGGTGTGATATAAATACGCAACGACTTTCTAGCTTTCTTCTCTCAGTGGGATATCAAATCGGATATAATCCATTTTTGCCATCCTGATTTTACTTCTATCAGCATCTCGATTTTGCTTTTTAAATCGCTAACCCGTTGCACTCTGCCAGGCTGCATCCCCCCATCCCTGGTTGCGCCACTGTTAACGCTAACAGGTGACTTTTTCTGAACCGTATGTATCCTGTACATGTCACTGTTGCAAAATTATAAAGACAGCAGTGTGCTTTATCTGACAAGCACTTGGGCATCTATATTTTTGAAGTGAAGTGTTTGACTTTTGTTTTCATGTAATCAAATGATTTCACTTATTTTCTACATATGCGTATGAGTTGGCCTCGCATATTAGCTGGCTGGTGTACAAGTTGGCTCGAGTATAAGTTAGCTCCCTTATCTTGGAAAAGCTCAGGCTGCACATGTTTGTAAACTGAATGAAATGTTGTCAATGAAGAGTCTCTTTGTTTTTGCATTTGACGACATATTTATCATTTTTCGCCTTTGGTTTGATGCTCTGACAGGTGTACGAGGACTTTGATTGCATGCTGAACCAGACCAACATCTCGCAGAACAACAACAAATATTACGTCATCCAGTTGATACAATCTGGCAAAAATTACACTGTGTGGACTAGATGGGGTCGTGTTGTAAGTATTTCTAGTTTTTATGTTCATTGTTGGATCAGCTGAACATCGTTCTGTAGCAGGGGACCACAAAAGTTCAGGGCCCAATTTCACGGTGCTGGTAAGCACACAATTTTCTGCTAACAGAGCCGTCGTCTACTTCATGGAGACCATAAGCACAGCAAAAGGCACGCTTACTTCGGAGGAAAAATTTGCTTAACGTAGTGACGTAACAATATAAATCTCCATGCACGTGCGACCGTTAGCACGTCCGCGCCGTGAAATAGCGCTTAAGGTTGGCAAATTTTTCTGCTATGCTAAACACAACTTTTCTGCTAACTGTTAAGCAGCGCCATGAAATTGGGCCCTGATCCTAAGGTGCAAAGTACCATGTTACCCCACCATTGCAGTAAGCAAGCGTTTGGCTAGCAACCACGTCATGAATTGTAGCGTAAAATGTTCACGTAAAATAACTGCAAATTCTTTATGGCATAATAGTCACTTCCTGTGCCGTGTACAGTTGGCATAATCATTCCGACCCAGCACTGGGAGTTGGCTGTGTGTTTTTCTCACAGTTTTTGCCATCCCTCACAGTTTTGAAGGCTTGCCTTCTACTACTGCGCGCCACCGGTGACCTATACGATCATTGCCAACTACAATGGCGACGCTGAATTTCTGGTACCCAGACGAGAGATGAGAGAGTCCTATTAGACCAAAAAACTGCTCGCACAAGATGAACTGGCAAAATGTCTGTTTAGCTGTAACATGCACATGTTATGCTGGCGGACTGCGCAAGACGTGGCAGAGTTCCGTGACTGATGACATGCGACTGCTTGGAGTCAATGCGAGGGACGCGACGGACAGGGCCAAGTGGAGGAGAGCCATAGGGAGAAAGCAGGCCAACCCAGAACAGACTGGACAACGGCCTTAAAACCGCCGATGATGATGATATTCATTCACTATCACAATGCACTCTCAGTGCAGAATTTGACTTAACAGATCAGTTTTTGTTCAGAAAATATGAACATTTGGTTGGAAATTGTCCAGTGTCAAACAGTGGATCTTCCTTGCAGTGGCGTTGAGATTCACTTGTTTCAATTTAATCCAGATCAATGAATTATGTTTACAAAACAAATTCAAATTTTTTTGCAGGGAGAGCCGGGAGCCAATCAGATGAACTCGTTTTCTGACGTCAGCCAGGCCATCAAAGCTTTTGAGAAGAAATTCCAGGACAAGACGCGCAACAAGTGGGATGAGCGGGCCAATTTCGCCCCAGTGGCCGGCAAGTACACGCTGATTGAGGTGGAGCAGAGCGAAGACGTGGAGGAAGACTTGAAGAAGGTGAGGCAAGAGTGGACTAAGTCTTGGTCCAAGAGTGGATTTACTTTTGTCTCCCTACTGCAGATGGCCCCTATGATCTCTGGCAGGCGCGATCAAGCTCCTTTTGTGTTAGAGGGTGAATCAATTCAGGGCTGCCAACTGTGAGTAAGAGCCGAGAGTGAGTATTTGGCGATGGAGCTTGATCAGAACTAATGCAAGCGCGAAGCCGTATCAGCATGGGGTTCATTGCCCGCTAAAGGGCCTCGGAAAATTCTGGATTCTAGGCACTCTGTGGTGCGATCTGAGGCAATTTATACCCACCTTAAAAAAAAATTGAGCAAAAGATCATCATTTAAACATCGTTTTCGAGGGTTTTTTTAGCGTGGGAAATCCCTTGTGGGCATGAGAGTGTGAGAATAACCTGAAATACGTGAGTCTCAGCTCAGGGGGCTATGGCCCCCCCCTGCCCCCTGCCCCTCCCCCCTGGCTACGTCTATGGTCTCACGATCTATGCATGAGAGTTGGCAGGCCTGTCAATTAGCAAGATGAATCATATCGATCCTAATTAGGACCTTTGATACCCGGAGCCCAGAAAGTCTGCACATGCCTGACTTATGAATGGTGCCAAGAACTTGCAATTGTCCTGTTGTGCTGTCGAAGCGAACGTTGCCAAGACGATTTGATTTCAGGGCAATATGGCCTCAAAGATTGGCCCTTGGGATAATCGGCAAAGAAAACCACTGGGTGGCTGCCATCTTTGGTGGAGCGCGTGATCCCGCTGCTATGCCAACGACCGGCCGTGACCACAATTTACGTTATTACTTCAATTGCAAATACACATGGAAATTTGTCAAGGTTAAGCCAATAAATATTAAGTGTGCAAGCTGGCATTATACTTAAATTAGAGAGATGTGTATTGCTCCAGGTCATGGGTCAGGCTAATTAATATTCAAATGCATATTTATACAGTTCTCTCATAGCATCTTAAATTGCATTGGGTGAAATGTAAAATGATAGTACATGTACTATTTTCCTTGTAGTCTCACGGGTTGACCTACAATGGAGTTCAATAGAACAACTTTAAATTTGTGCTGGGCGATCTCAGACCCTATATCCAAGCATGAAGCAGTGGTTGGACTGAGGCTCGAGTAGTTGAGTAGTGTCTTGAGAAGGAGTAATGAACATCCAACTTTCTTTCTGAAAAATGTATCTGGTATCTTGCTTTCAGTCTGTTCTGAAAGAGCTTGGACTGAATGTTGCTGGGTTTTAGCAGATTAGGCAAAAATTACAAAACTTGTGAATAGTTAATGGTGCTCCTTGTTGTTTCTGGAGTCCCTTCCATCGTGAAACATTTGAGTAAAAAATAATTAATATGACATCATATAAAGTAACCATGACTGCGCTTTTCTGTACAGCTGAGTGAACTGGAAGCTGGCGGCTCCAAAAAAACAGCTAAATCAGAGTATGCCCCAAGTAAACTGGACACGCCAACCCAGAAACTCATGGATCTGATCTTCGATAACAACATGTTTCAAGAACAGATGGCGAACTTTGAGCTTGGTGAGTTTGGGAGAATGGAAGTCGAAAGTGGGGGGGAGGGGGGGTAACCTTGGTTCAAGACTTGGTTCAATCCAGTTTTGGTCTGTGTAAGGTTAGCGTTTATTGTTATTGAAATCTGTTGGCAATGCATGTTTATTTTCAAATTGTCAGATGTGAAGAAAATGCCCCTGGGTAAACTGAGCAAAGCCCAGCTGGCTAAAGGCTTTGATGCTCTTGAGGCCATTGAGACTGCCATCAACAACAAGGCTGGCACCAAGAAACTGCAGGAACTCAGCTCCAGGTTCTACACGTTGATACCGCATTCCTTCGGCCGTAAGCTCCCGCCGACCATCAGCCAAGCTGAGACGGTGCAGAACAAGAAAGATATGCTCCTGGTGAGATGTCACATAGCAGTGGGTTTTATTGTTTTCATATATAATTAATAATTGCTGGCAATTATACCAAAGATTCCTCAAAAGCGCAAAAAGGCGGTGAAGCTTGCAAGCCTGATAAGAAATCTGTGGAGAAAAGAAGATGAAGAAATGTACGGTTTCACAGAGGTCGGAAAAAAACTCCAGGGGCTGATAGAGGTTTCATACACTATAGGCTCCACGTACAAGTTCTCCCCTTAATGATAACAATGGGAAAGTTGGGAGAGACCACTGGGAAGGACATGCAAATTGTATTGCTGAAGACGCCTGGTGCTAATGCAAATACGCTATGGGTTTGTACATATTCAGATGAAAATTAGCTGTGCAGACTTTGCGACAAACCACACGTTGTATCTCCCGTCCAATGGGATCTCCGAGGTGGTCAAAAAGTGTCATTTACTGTTCGTGCATGGAGTCAATGTAATAAATATTGAGTTAACCCCTTCTTCTCAGAACCATGCACATCCTCAAAAGGGATATATGTGACCTACTGAGGCAAAATGAGGAATGTCCCCCAAAACTTTGTTTTTGAGTAATCGACGCCTGAAGTCAGATGTACTAGAAAAAAATTGTGTCAAAATTGATATTGATTGTTTTGTATTTTTGAGTTCCGGTAGCCAAGGCATCCAAGATTCACACTATGCATTTTTGTTGTGAAAAAAATACCCACAAAGGTGGACAAACTAAAGAATGTTTTTCACTGCCGTTGGCGGCGCAATGCATGTCTTTTTTTTTTCAAAGCTGTTTTTCTCGAAATGAGGTTAGAGAAACTTGGAAGGACACTGTTGAAGTTCCTGCGTCATGCCTTTGGAATAAATTAAGCTACAGAAATAAATCAGGTATCATTGGAAAGCCAATGATTTGCGCTTTAATATGATGTACATAACCTGAAAAGTCAAAGGTGGGGGTTTTTCCTCATTATGCTATGGCAGGTCACATATGGTGCTGCCACGAAATTCTTGTAATGGATATTGATGTGAGCACAGTGATTTTACAAAAATATGAGTTTACTACAAACTTTCACTTTATCAAGTTTTGCCCTGTTTACAGTGACATTTAGACAAAAATGTGAAAATAGTTTCTCTTCTTGCACTTGGCAGGTACTGAGCGACATTGTCATTGCTCAGGATATCAAGAGAGAGCAAGACGAGACACTGGTAAGTATTTCAACTTTTAGATTTTTTATTATATTTTATTGTTAAGGAACTGGAACGTAGGTTTTGAAACTTTGCATGGTGGTAGTATGAAAATCTCTTTTGAGAAGAAGTTTGGTTTTGAAAAGAACCGTTTGGTTGTGAAAACTGGATGTTTCGATCAGTATGCTCTGCTCGTCTTCAGGAGACGTCGAGTGTTCACAACCAATCGCCGGTTCTTTTCACAACCACACATCTTCTCAAAAGAGATTTCAAAATGAAGTCAACGCAGATCTTCACTAGAACTTAAAAGTGCAAGACAAGTGCTCATATAATATGTACTGATAGGACGTTTGTATACCCTCAAAGACCAGTTGTCTGGAATAAATGCCAAGATATTTCATAAAGTGCAATAATTTGTGGCCGCTTTTAATTGTAGTTTTTCCTTTTTCTTTTTGTGATTTTTTTTTTCTTTGAACAGTATTTCTTTGTTTTCTTCGGTTGTTTGCTTGTTGTTGTGTTTGTCCCCTGTTTTTCGGTTTTGATGTGTGAACAAGGGTCCCCATTTAGTGGGCCTGTGTGCCTGTTCGGGGTTTCCCTTTTGCACCACATGTCAGTCTAATGTATTTGTGCAATGAAGGTAATAAAATAAAATTTAAAAAAAGGCTGAAATGTAGCTTATGTAGGATGTACATACCATCAGAAAGTGGACAACCGTAAATTAGATTTGCCTGATTAAAAAACACATGTGCTCAGTCCAAGTTTTTACTGTACATTTGCTTCTAAGTTAGCAAAGGAAGTTGACAGCTCAGAAAAGGATTGGGCTAGCTCATTTTATCTGAGCATTTTGTGGATCTGATTTCACCCCTTAGAATATCTCATGCATTGCCGCACTTGTGTACTTCCCTGTCCTTATTAACTCTTTCAGTGCCTGTGAAATTTGAAAAGTTTAACCCTAAAGTGCCCAACTTCGAGCGTTTTTGATAATTGTTTGAAATTCTGTAAAAAAAAAGTAAATAAGTTTTACTCACTAAATTTGTTGTTGTTGCTCTCTGGTATATCCTTGATATATTGGAAAGTCAAAAGTAGTCACAAACATAGTGATACACCCTGAAACACTGGCCTGAACACAGGGGAATTCCGCACTTTTTGCAGAAAATAAGAGATTTAGTGCTGCGCCCTCTCGCAAGAACTCGAATGAAAAAATAAATACAGGTCGTACATGCATGCAAATGGTACCATTAGAAAGAGCGAGAGCGCCCCCTTTTGATAACATATTTACTCTACCTCGTACATGTACGAGGTTTGGCAATTTTAAGTACGAACATTACCTCGTACATGTACGAGGTTGGCGCTTTTGTACTAACAAATATACCTTGTACATGTACGAGATTGGCACTGAAAGAGTTAACAAGACTTCTTCCATTTTTCTCAATCAACTTATTCCTTCTTATCATTTCACAGTCACAGTCCCAGGCTGCAGTGGCACCGAATCCGCTGGACGTGAACTATGAACTGCTGAAATGCAAGCTGGAACATGTGGCTCCCAAGTCAGAGGAACACAAGGTAGAAAAAATCAAAAATTCACGAGATTCACTTTACCCTGTGGAGAGATAAGTCCGTGTCTTTGTTCATGGTGCACTAGTCAGAAGAACAGTGCCAACAGGCTCTTAGAGCTACCAGTTTGGCCTGGCTTGCTTAGTAAAGCTTAGCATCAACATGAAATTGGTGCTGGTGTCTAGTGTGGAGTAAGGCCTACGGAACACTGGTGCCTAGGGCCTACGCAACACTTAACCTGGCCCTGCTATAAGCCTTAAAAGCCATATAGCTAGGGATCACATTAAAAATCATAATGCTACCAACATTTTAGCAATGCTGCATACCCGGATGATGTTAATTGGATGTCGCTCATTGGGTGTTGTTCATTGGATCAAAGATGTTTTATTCAAAGAATTTCCAATCCTGCTCCTTGAACTCAAAAGCCTGATCATACTTGTAATCTATCAACACAGTGTTTCTTTTATTCAATAAGTTTCTTATGATTTTGCTTTGTTTCTAGGTGATTTCTACCTATGTTGACCACACAAAGGGTGGATGGAGGCAGCCCAAGTTGTTGAATGTCTGGAAAGTGGCTAGAGAAGGAGAAGTAAGCTCTGCTATTTGCTACAAGAAAGTTTTTATTGCAAACATATTAATTTCTTTTGTCGTTTTGTACCATAGAGCTATATTAAATTACTAGAGCACTGACACATGTACAAATTGATGCCTGATGGGCACATCCATGTTTGTATGGCTATTTGCATATCTGCGGTTGTATTTTGTACAGGTGCGTTACCGAAGCCGATACGCCCAAAACTGAAATGCACGATCAGCAAATGAGCGTTTCTGTTTTCTCTACGCAAACAGCGCAACGTGTGCGTGTCCCTCCGGTGCAGATGATTTTTGCCGGGACGATTTTTGAACCGTCATGACGCGCTTAAGTTGTTTGCGTGTGTTCTACTTGCATGTTGCATTTAGAGTACACTTTAAAAATTTAATCCATCTAATTCCATTATGCTCTACAAATACACACATGAATTCAAAATGAGCAGGCTGTCCTGTGAGTGGTGCTTACTGTCTCCATGAAAGGAACGGAGGTTTGCTTAGCACAGAGGTTTGCTTAGCAGAAAATCTTGTGCTAAGCACTGCCCTGATGTTGTTCCCAGATTTCAGCCAGTTTGAGGTCCACTTTTGCTGTACCTTTCTCTGGCATTCATACTTTCAACCCCTCCCCCTCACTCCAATGAAGAAAAAGTTGATGCTATTAAACAAGTCAACAGTCGCAGAATGGATCATGATTTGTCAGTAACACAGGCATGCAACTTTTCCTTGGATCAGCTGATTTCCTCTTTTTTTACTACCCATGTGTGCCATTTAAATTAGAAAAACACTGTACAAAGTCTTGGAAAGATTTGAATTTACTCTTTTTTTGTGACTGCCCAGTTGCATGCCTGGTAACAGAGCTAGTTTTCCTCTTGTTTATTCCTCACAAACAGGATAAGCGTTTTGCTGCCCACAAAAATCTCGAGAATCGTCGTCTGTTGTGGCATGGCACTAACGTGGCTGTGGTGGCAGCCATCCTGAAAACCGGCCTGCGCATCATGCCCCACTCTGGCGGCCGCGTCGGCCGTGGGATCTACTTCGCTTCCGAGCACAGCAAATCTGCCGGATATGGTAAGATTTTTTTTTATATCCTTTGGAAATCTTTGTGAGTCCTGTTTGACTAATGTGGGATCGCACATAGCCCGACAGGTAGCAATGATCATTATCTCAAAGGCACTTCAATTCACACCGCAACAAAGTCTGCCGACAACACTTGATTCCTTCCTTGGAGTCCAGAAAGATTTCCAGTCGGTGTTGTAGTCAAGTGAATTGTAGAAGTCAAGGCCAAGTCTCGAGTCTCTTGGGTTGAGTCCGAATTTGAGTCTCAAAGTCATTTTGGTTTGAGTGCATGGATATGGACACACACAAAATGTCATGTAAGTGATATGTACGTGATGCGCTGTCGCGGAGTATAGCGATGGTCGCATATTTAATATTTATGTATAACAACTTACAATATTGATTGCAACACCACCTGAAGAGTGATGCGTTATTACGGTTCGTGCGCTTAATGTTCTTTAGCATTGCATTAATGTTACCTTCGGGGGGAAAAAACATTGGACTGTTTTTACAAGGTAATACCTTTGGTAAAAAAAAGTGACTCGTGAGTCATGAGTCATTAGCTCAAGTCCGAGTCATAATGGTCAAGTCTGAGTCCGAGTCCGAGTCTTTTGCCGATGTGACTTGAGCCGAGTCCGAGTCACAGAAATTGGAAGTCACACAACACTGTTTCCAGTAAACAGTTCGAATCAAAAATATACAAACCCACTTTCAAACCATGGCATTTGATTTAAAAAAATCTCATTGGTAGAAAGCAGTCCACGGATGTATTTCAAAACGTAATGTATGACCCCTTGTGGTTTCTGGAGTATGTTGTGTATATCATCCCTGTACCCTTGGTTCGTCACCTTCAATTGTTCTTTTAGCTTTTCATAATAATCGTTCTCACAACATGGATAACTTATACCACTCTTCCCCTATGAATCGTGAAAGATTGAACAGAACATTATTTTGTCGCATCAGTGCAACAACAAGGTCGTAACTCCATTCTGCAACAAAGTCGTATCTCGCGCGAATACGCTCCGTGCAACAAGGTCGTATCTCGACGTCCATTGACTTTGCGTGTACATCCGGGTTATTTTAAGCGAGATACGACCTTTTGACATTCTAAAACTCGCGTTTTGCGTTCATAACTCCATTCTGCAACAAAGTCGTATCTCGCGCGAATACGCTCTGTGCAACAAGATCGTATCTCAACGTCCATTGACTTTGCGTGTACATCTAGGTTATTTTAAGCGAGATACGACCTTTTGACATTCTAAAACTTGCGTTTTGCATCGTTCATGCCATTTTAGGAGATACGACCTTGTTGCACTGACGTGACGATTTATTTATCACTAATGTTGTACCATGCTTTTTATCCTTGGCAGTGGGAACCACAAACAGCGGTACAGGCATCATGTTCCTGAATGAGGTCGTCTTGGGTGAGGAGCATCATATCACCATGGATGATAGCAGTCTCAGGAGTGCCCCGCCCGGCTCCCACTGCGTCATTGCTAAAGGAAGGACAGAACCAGGTACGTTGATGGGAGATGGAGATGGGGATGGTTATTAATCCTTAAAGGGTCCATGACTTGACTATGACTGTGACTCGAGTCCGACTCGAGTCACAATTTTTTGGCGACTTGACTTGACTCGACTCGAGTCCCGATGGGTAAATGACTCGACTCGAGTCACTGCGAGCAAATGACCGGACTTGACCCAAGTCCCTCGCTGAAATGACTCGACTCGACTCGAGTCACTTCTTTGAAATGACTCGACGAAGATGGAAAATAAGGGTTAAAATGGGACACAAAGGTGCTTTTTCAAGGATTGCATTATAAAAAATTACATTGCATTGGCCATTTAAATTTAAACCCCTATAAAATGCCCCCCTCCCCAAAAAAGGATTCACTGTACAGTGCGCCACTGAGCACTTGCATTACTAAAATGGGCAAGGGGGATGGGCTATCCACTTGAGGCCTGTATCAGCCTTGTGCCCCGCCCCCTCAGAATTTGGGGGAAGGCAAAAAAGAACCTAGTATTGTTGAATTCAATCATGTACTCAGTTTGTGTATAACCAGGTATCCAAAAATGGTTGGGAAAAGAAAAGAAGTCACCTCTACCAGCTATGCCATGACCATAACTAGAAGCAAAATACCTACGAGCTACCTCACTTGTGCTTTTACAAGCAATCTCAGTGCTCCTTTGACCACGACGGTCTTTTCTTAAATTGTTCTCATAGCCGCAAATTTTCTCATTTATTTCTTGTGCCAGATCCTAAGCATGAAACCCACTTGGTGATGGATGGCAAGAAAGTGACAGTCCCACAAGGAAAGCCTGTCAATCAGAGTAAATACAACAACAGCTACTTCTCACAGAGCGAGTATCTGGTGTACAGCGAGAGCCAGAACCGTATCCGCTACATGCTGGAGTTTAACTTCCGCTAAAAATGGCAACAGCGGCGAATCGGATATTTTGGAAGAGGTAAAATGAAAAACAAACAAAGAACCCACAACTTGATTCTTGTCATAAATTGTTAGGACAAATGAGAAGTTTCCAAGTATCAGATTTATACTTCAAACACAATTCTCGGTTTTGTTTTAGAAATAGCTGGTTGGATTTTATTTTTCAAGAAACATTTATCATTTTTTCATAACCCTATAATCTCATAGATTGTTTATATGTTCATTGTTTAAATATGGTGTTTAAGATCCCCCTAAACAATCGGATGCAATAACAAGAGATATAATTGTAAGTGTACTAGAATTAAAAAAAAAAAAAATCTTGGTACAGATTGTCTACCAAGAGCATTGAAATATTTTGCGTAATTGTTATGATCGTAAAAGTGTTGGTGCATGTTCAGATTTATTTGCTCTTTGTTCTTCAACCGGTCAGTTTGGTGTACTTACATATACGATCAGATCAAATGTTAAACTGGATGCCTAACTTTGTATTGTACAAATATGTGAGGACAGGCAATAGTCTCAGAGCTCTTGAAACCATCTTGTTTTAGGGCTGTGCATTGGAACCGGGTACCTGAGTATCCGTTGATGTCAGGAACGGGTTCCAGATTATGGGATAGGCATTCTTGTAACCAACTTGCCATATTACTTAGTAACATCTCAGACAATGAAAAAGTATCTTGCTGTATTGAAGCACCGGTGTGCTATTATCGAGCAGACCTTATAATTATGAACAATCCGTAACAGCAACTTCCGAGATATGTATTTTAGGGTTGGGTTTCTTAAACAGGTACCCAGGTAGCCATGAGGGATTTTGAGACTATGTTCATGTACAGATTACACTGAATTAACCAATTATCTGTTAAAAGACCTCACAAAATTGTTGGTACGGATTAATTACCAACAACAGATTTTGTTCATGTAAGTTATGCATGCTTAGGATGTCACCATTAGACTTCCAAGCTCAACCTGATGAAAGAATTTTCAAGGGATTGTATGTGAATGGGCCATTTCATTTTCAATTTAGCTACCAAAGGAATTGTGCTTAATGGAATTTGTAACATACAGCTCATGTCAGTTATGATTATGGCAGTGAAATGAGCATGGACTGTATGTTCAACCTTTATAATGAGTGCAGTCAAATTTGCTACTCTTGCAAAATGTTGTTGATCATTTTAAGCAATCATTTTAAAGTCTTTTATGCCATGCTGTTGTTTATCTTTTGCTTTTTTTCTTGGATGGTTCAGAGTTTGAATTGAGTAGATTAGTTAGAGTAGTCTGCTATTTTGCTTACAAATGGAAAGTGAGATGAGCCTTTTAACAAGTATATATTTTTATGAAAGACACAGATTTGGTCAAATCTGGTGAAATCTTTGCCAAAAGTATAGCTTTGCTTGTATTTAAGCATGAAATCAGTGATATGATATGTAGTTATTTTTAAAATATATTTTACTGTTTTATTAAAATAGATGAAATGCATGCCATATCAATTTGATAAGAAAAATCATGTGAAAACAATGGCATTACAATTTAAAGTAGCTTAGTTTATTACTTCAAAAACTTTACAATTTTCACTATAAAGTTGGAATATTGTATTTTGTCAATACAAAATTAATTTCCGGAGTATTTTGTTTTTAAAGTGTTTTAGCATTTGATGATATTTTAAAGAAAATCAGTTTATGACGTTAGTTTATGTTAAATACGTTTTTAAAATTGTACAAGAAATACCTGTTTCTTGTATTCAGTGTCCTCTATAGAAAATCATGATGTTTTAAAAACTTAATGTGAGGAAAAAACTTAATTCATAACAAAGTGCAAATCATGCCTTATTAGTTACAGTTATTTAATTAAATCGCTGTCTATATTGAAATATGTACATTTAGATATGAGTGATATCAGTTTTATCACCAAACTATATGAAGTTTTGACTTAACTAAAAATTGAGCTTGAAAGTTTTTTAAAATAAAAAAAAAGAGAATCGTACATTATACAAATAATGAAAGTTTGAGAGTGCAATGGAAAGAATAATTTCATGAGGTGATGTTCCACGAGCTAGCGAAGTTTTATACATGTATAACACCTGAATAAATCCTTGTCATCTGATTGGTTGACTTTTAATAGCCAATTTATTCAGGTTAAAAACTGTTTAAAAGTTTGATGAGTTCATCATATTTAATTTATGCAAACGGTTCAACAGGCTGATAACAATCATATATATATATATATATATTCAATTTATCTCGATTTAAACCAGCGCCACCGCCAGAAGCAGTGACACCATGCAATGGAGTTCTATTCACCGTGCAATAGAACTTCGCGCCGTGCGTTGGGACAAATAATTCAATGACATGTGATCAACGATCCACCAATCAGATGACAAGGATTTATTCAGGCGTTATATAAAACAAGTACATGTAATGACTGTTTCACGTTCGTGCAATGGAAAGAATAATTTCATTCGGTGACAGATGAAATGTTCCATTCCACTCGGGAACATTTCATCTGTCACCTCATGAAAACATGTCATACTTTCTGAAATAAACTAGCATACAATCGAACAATATTGTGAAAATGCGACTCCTTCATTTGCTTATTACCTCCGCCAAGGAGGTTATGTTTTCGTCGGCGTTGGTTTGTGTGTCGGTTGGCTGGTTTGTCTGTAAACAAGATAAGTTATGGACAGATTTTTATATGAAATTGCTTTTAGGGGTGATCCTTGGTTCAAGTACAAAAACGATGAGATTTTGGAAGTGCGGATCCGGAACTGGGTCTGGATCCAGGATGGTGTTTTTTTAAGGATTCGTTTATGCGAGTATTTCTTTTGGGAGTAGGCCTACCACTGACAATAATGGCCGGGAATTCGCTCTCGAGTGCTTTCTGTAAGAAGTAGGATGGGACTACGTATTATCGCGGTACTTATCACGTTTCTCGTTCGGAATAGAGATTGCTGCGCCCACCAACCTTCCCGAATTGTATAACTCTTCCTTTTCAAATTGATATATAAATCCGACGCGTACGGTGTTATTCCGTGTACTTGTACGATGCCTGTGAAAACAGACATGCTCAGAGCGTGCGAACGGAGGTGGACTCTCTATTATATCGCTGTACGCGGAAGTGGCTTTTATGATAATGATCTCAACTTTTTGTCATAGTTAATGTTTGACTAAAACAACCCTGAATAAAGTCTGATATTTTCCCTGTAACGTTCAAGTTGATTAAAGACTATATGCCTGCAGGATGATGATTTCTTATTAAGACCCAGCCCCTCCCCGGAAAGGAGAACAAAAATCACTAAGACGCGTCGACTGATTGGCGATTGGGGCTGCCACGGTGTGCCGTTTTTTTTTTTTTTCTTTAACGCGCCGTCCTTAATATTTTGATCCCGTAAAAGTTTCAACGATATCATCGTGCGCGCACGTGCACGCTGTATCAATTAGTGAATTAAAGCGCCCTCAGTCGACAGCAAATGATGAGAGACAGCCGAGTGCGAGACTCCAGGGATCCTGGTGAACGAAATACTGGTAAATTTCACATTTTTGTTTGACATTTGAGGGATTTCAACCCACCCTAGAGGTACCTATCCACACCAAGATAATTAATACTTGAGAAATATTGAGCCCAAACATTTCGTGACAGGAGAGTTTGGAGGTTAGAAATAAATAAGAGTTTTCTGCTACAGCAGCCATGCACTATCATGACTATGCAGCAACTTAATTTAGCTGGAGTTATCCGTTGTGTTTACCGGCGGCGTGTTTACCGAAAATAAACCGCAATTCCACGCTTTCGTTGAAAACATTTTCAGTACGAACTCCCGGTGTGAAGATTACGCGCGCGCGTACGTGCATGCACACCTGCTTTGAGGAGGCAAATGATATGGTTTAATTACCTACCCCTCCTGTACAACAAGTGTTCAGGGTTATCTGGCGCAGGTGCAGGCAGGTATTGTCTTGGAACACAGGGTGTACACCTTTTGGGTGGCGGTATACTACTGCCAACACCACGGTGGACACGCCCGACGTTCAATATTGATAGGACTATACCAGCCTATTTAATGTAGTTATATTTAAAGGTAGAGTCCATCATTTGCAGCCATCCGAAAAGTAACTGGCGTAATTATTGTTGAAAAACTAACTTGGTTGAAAGATAGTAAGGAGACTAAACTCCCTGTGAAATTATTCTTTCTGGGAAGCTGTCATTTTGAAGTTATCAACGAAAGAAGGCATTTTCAACGGTGATTCTTAAGAAGCACCGTAGGAAAATTTAAATTAGTAGTTCGTTTTGTTATTCAGCGAAGCGCGCACAAGTATTCGAACGACGCACACGCGCTCGCGGTTGTTATAATTCGTCGGATCAGTGCGCAACGTCGCGTATAGTTGCAATTCAAAACAATTCAAAACATGATTCAGCAACTTTTGATTTGAAATTGAGATCTTAGAATGCTGTTTTTCTCGGAATGTACAGCTGAAGCTTAGCTGAAACTTCATCAGGTTAGTTGCTCAGTATCCTTCATTAGATTTTGAACTCTTTTGTTGCTTCAAACGAACAAAATGCACAAATTACAAATGATGGACTCTACCTTTAATAAGAATATCACTTCCTAAAATATTACCTAATCACTTAGTGATGCTACACCTTCATTGTAGCACGCTGCTGCCACGGCAGCAAACAGCACACGCCTACTGAAAAGTTTTCAACGAAAGCTTAGAACTTGCGGTTTATTTTCGGTAAACATGCTGCCCGCGGACATATTTGCCTTTTCTAAACCCAGTGCAGGCACAATTCTGGACGCAAGGAATATGTAAGCGAAATTTCAGCTTCCTCTGTCAGGTAAAAATTTGAAAAAAATGTGTTATAATTTTTTTCGCTATGATGGTAGAATATATACCCTGGACGTCGGTCGTTATGCAATGAAGACGTCGTCCAACCTGGGCTAGAGTTACCTCAGCCCTAGCCCAGGATGGACGACCGTCTTCATTGCATTGCGATTTCTCCACAAGCGACCATTTGAAACTGAAAATATTGATAAAATAAGGCAGTGGTAACGTAAGTGATATACCAATTTTTTTGAGTACAGCTATTCGAGTACGAGTACTTTGTTTTATCGAGTACTGTTATTCGAGTACGAGTTCTTTGATGATCGAGGACAATTTTGCCATGTGCGAGTACAATTACTTTGCTGCTCGAGTACGAGTACCGTCGTATCGAGTACGAGTACTTTGACATTCGAGTACGAGTACTTGAGTAGTACTCGAGTACGGAGTATGAGTACTGTAACACTGAAACTAGTAAGTACTAGTTCAACCAGACAGAAGTGAAGACAACTGTTTTTAAATTGATGTTTTTCACCGGCCCTTGCCCTCAGATTTTTTTGAAATGTTAATTAATAAACAGAGAAATGTGAAAACAGGGAAACTTTGGCAGTGCCCCCTCGTGTCAAATGAGCCTCTCCCCCCCCCCCCCCCCCCATATGAAAATGTGAACTTTCCACCCTCAGTCTATGGAATATCCTCTTGCAAAGCAAGGGTCTATGATATGTGAGCAGATTTAGCGATTAATTATGCAAAACAAGACTGCATCTTGACACCTTGAGATTCTGACCATTCAGCGGGCGCCTTCTGTTGGTCTTCAGTAACCTGTTGTATTACAGAAACTTGCCAGCCAAATTGACCAATCAAAAGCTTAGTCCTCATTTCTGATCAAATTGACGCCACAATTCCATTAAAGTTGACGTTGGTTATGTAGAGAGCTCTGGTGGACAAAACGGGTGATATTCTGACTACCCCACCCCACCACCTTTGAGTCTTATATTGAGATGTAAAATGCTGGCATAACATTTTGACCCTATTAAATTTCTTGATCTCCTACAGACAGCTCCAGTTAAAAAAGTTTCCGATCACCAACTCGCCATGCCTCCTAAACGAAAAGCTGCAGCGGCCAAAGCTGGAGGCAAAAAGAAGAAAGTAGAGGACCCGCCAGCTACCGACAGCAAGTCTGATATCAAGAAGAAAGTAGAGGCTCTCAAGACTGCAGAGAAGGGGAAAAAGAAGACCTACGTCGTGGATAGCTACTACTCTGGCTCTGGCGCTGTAAGCAAAACCTCTGAGAGTTATTCTTGTTTATTTCCAATAGCTCGGACCCCCGTGATTAGTTTATATTTTACCAGCATTGGATTGCTGGAGACTGATCTCAATTTCAAGACCGGTCTTGAGACCCAAGTTTTGTGGTCTCGATATCAAACTGTCATTGGACTCAGTTTTGATCTTGGTCACGAATGCTTTTCAGCTCGTACGCGTGCCACGTCCAACAACTGTAGTCCGTAATTTGAGAAAATGTGATATACACAACAACTTTCTAGCTTTTTTCTCTCAGTGGGATATCAAATCCCTTTTTTACTTTTATTTGCATCCCCCTTTTGCTTTTAAATCTCTAGCCTGTTGCACTCTGCCAGTCTGCATCCCCCCACCCCTGGTTGCGCCACTGTTAACGCTAACAGGTGACTTTTTCTGAACTGTATACGTATCCCGTACACGTACCCTGTACACGTATCATTTCTTATGGTCACTATTGTAAGAATTATATACAGACAGCAGTATGCCTTATCTTACAAGCGCTTTCGCGTCTTTATTTTTAAAGTAAAGCGTTTTACCTTTGTTTTCATGTAATCAAATGCTTTCACTTCTTTTATCAACGTATGCGACAACCAGAAGATGGTGTTTGTACGTGGACAAACAGATACAGATACATGTATACGTACGAGTTGACTCTCGTATTAGCTGGCTGGTGTACAAGTTGGCTCGAGTATTAGTTAGCTCCCTTATCTTCGAAAAGCTCAGGCTGGACATGTTTGTAAACTGAATGAAATGTTGTCACTGAAGAGTCTCTTTGTTTTTGCATTTGACGACATATTTATCATTTTTCGCCTTTGGTTTGATGCTCCGACAGGTGTACGAGGACTTTGATTGCATGCTGAACCAAACCAACATCTCGCAGAACAACAACAAATATTACGTCATCCAGTTGATACAATCTGGCAAAAATTACACTGTGTGGAGTAGATGGGGTCGTGTTGTAAGTAGTGACTTTAGTTTCTATTTTTTTGGTTCATCGTTGGATCAGCTGAAAATTGGACAAAATAGGTCCTGCTCGTATGGCGTCAAAGTACCATGTGACCATCCGTGTTCACACCCAGACGTATAGGCCGGGTCATGAGAGAGTCCTATTAGACTAAAAAAACTGCTCGTACAAGCTGAACCGGCAAACATGCACATGTCACGCTTGCCAACCGCGCAAGACATGGCAGAGTTCCGTGTCAGATGACATGCGACTGCTTGGAGTCAATGCGAGGGATGCGACGGACAGGGCCAAGTGGAGGAGAGCCATAGGGAGAAAGCAGGCCAACCCAGAACAGACTGGACAACGGCCTTAAAACTGACAATGATGATGATAGTCATTCACAATGCACTCTCAGTGCAAAATTTGACTTATAACAAATCTGTTTTTGTTCGGAAAACAAGGAAATTTGGTTGGAAGTTGTCCAGTTTCAAACAGTGGATCTTCCTTGCAGTTGGTTTGAGATTCCCTTGTTTCAGTTTAATCCAGATCAATGAATTATTTTTAAAAAACAAATTCAAATTATTTTGCAGGGAGAGCCCGGAGCCAATCAGATGACCTCGTTTTCTGACGTCAGCCAGGCCATCAAATCCTTCGAGAAGAAATTCCAGGACAAGACGCGCAACAAGTGGGCTGAGCGGGCCAATTTCGCCCCAGTGGCCGGCAAGTACACGCTGATTGAGGTGGAGCAGAGCGAAGACGTGAAGGAAGACTTGAAGAAGGTGAGGCAAGAGTGGACTTAGTCTTGTTCCAAGAGGGGATTTGGATTTTGTCTCCTTAATGCAGATGGACCCTCTCCCTGGCAAGCGCTGTCAAGTTCCTTTTGTGTTAGAGGGTGAATCAATTCAGTGCTGCCAACTTTGAGTAAGAGCCGAGAGTGAGTATTTGGCGATGGAGCTTGATTAGAATTAATGCAAGTGCGAAGCCGTAATGGCATGGGGTTCATTGCCCGCTTAAGGACCTTGAAAAATGTTGAATTATGGACGCTCTGTGATACGATCTGAGGCAGTTTATGACCACCAATAAGCAATTTGTTTTTAGCAAAAGATCATCATTTAAGCATAATATTTGTCGACAAGATGATTTGATTTTCAGGGAAATTTTTACACAACGATTCGCCTTTGGATAATAATTGGCAAAGAAAACCACCATACTGTAGTGGGTGGCAACCATCTTTGGTGGAGTGCGTGATCCCACTACTATGCTAACGACCAGCGGTGAACACAATTACTTCATTTCTACGATTGCAAATACACATAGAAATACATGTATGTCGAAGTTAGTAGGCCAATAAAAATTAGGTCTGCAAGCTGACCTTGTACTTGATTAGAGAGATGTGTTTTGCTCAAGGTCATGGGTGAAGCTAATAATGTTCATATGCTTATTAATACTGCTCTCTCATAGCATCTTAAATTGCATTGGATGAAATGCGTAGTGATGGTACATTGTAGTTTCTTGTAGTCTTGTTGTGTTTCTTGTATTCTAACGGGTTGACCCACATTGGAGGTCAAAAGAACAACTATGTGCTGGGCGATCTCAGACTCTATATCCAAGCATGAAGCAGTGGTTGGACTGAGGCTCGAGTAGTTGAGTAGTGTCTTGAGAAGGAGTAATGAACATCCAACTTTCTCTCTGAAAAATAATTTGGTATCTTGCTTTCAGTTTCTTCTGAAAGAGCTTGGAATGAATGTTGCTGGTGTTTAGCAGATTAGGCCAAAGTTACACAACTTGTGAATAGTTAATGGTGCTCCTTGTGTTTCCGGAGTCCCTTCCATCATGAAACATAGGAGTTAAAAATAAAATGACGTCATATAAAGTAACCATAACTGCGCTTTTCTGTGCAGCTGAGTGAACTGGAAGCTGGTGGCTCCAAAACAACAACTAAATCATCAGAGTATGCCCCAAGTAAACTGGACACACCAACCCAGAAACTCTTGGATCTGATCTTCGATAACAACATGTTTCAAGAGCAGATGGCAAACTTTGAGCTTGGTGAGTTTGGGAGAATGGAAGTGGGGAGGGGGGGGGGGGGTAGCCTTGGTTCAAAACTTGGTTCAATCCAGTCTTGGTTGGTGTTTATTGTTATCAAAATCTACCAATAAACAATGCATGTTTGTTTTTCGAACTGTCAGATGTGAAGAAAATGCCCCTGGGTAAACTGAGCAAAGCCCAGCTGGCCAAAGGCTTTGATGCTCTTGAGGACATTGAGACTGCCATCAACAACAAGGCTGGCACCAAGAAACTGCAGGAACTCAGCTCCAGGTTCTACACGTTGATACCGCATTCCTTCGGCCGTAAGCTCCCGCCGACCATCAGCGATGCTGAGACATTGCAGAACAAGAAAGATATGCTCCTGGTGAGATTTCAAAGGCGTGGGTTATACTTGTTTTGTTTAATATTATTATTTATTTCTGGTTATTAAATCCAAGGATTCCTCAAAAGCACCAAAGGTGCTGAAGCTGGCACACCTGAAAAAAAAACCCACCAAAATCTGTGGAGAAAAGGAAATGAGGAAATGTTTGTTTGTTTTTATTTATTTATTTCTGGTAATGAAACCAAGGATTCTTCAAAAGTGGGCGTCTGACGTGACGTCACCTTCGTTGCTCGATCGCGAAAAAAATAAGTCACGCTTTATCAACGACTGTTTCGTGTAATAATACGTGCTCCGATCCGCGCCGCGCCGTACGACAGTATGGGCTTTGAACTCACCCAAGGAGCACGTAACATTACACAAAACAGTCGTGGATAAAGTGCGACTTGTTTTTCTTCAATCGAGCAACGACGTCACGTCAGACGCCCTCATTCGACAAGTCGATTCAAGAACTGAGCCTCCCTGCAAACACATTGAGTTGTAAGTTTTCAGACTATTTTGCTGTTTTTTTTTAAAAATTTGCTGTTTGGGAACAATATAAGGGGTCTCATGGAATGTCAAGAATGTATAGATCAATCCAGGATAACTGTCTCTCTCATTTGTATTCTCTTTACCGTTTTTTTTGGGTCTTTTTGTCCTCGCGTGGGTTTGTGACTATGCTACTGTGACGGTGTCACCAAAGTGTGGCAAATCGGTGGAGCGTTGGTATGGAGGGGTACCCGTAATTCAACGCTCCACTCAGTAGAGCTAGTTCTTATATGACTTGAAATTCTGCCATTTTGATTAAAGTTAGCATTACTCATTACTCAACTCAATATTCAACTCAATATTCGAATAGCTGTTATCAGTTTGAATAACCAAAAACTACACACGTACACACACACAGGACTGTGATGTTATTTTATCGTAAAGTTGTGGTGCTTTATTGTCAGATGCCACTTTTTTTTTCCAGGGTAAGTTTTCGACGGCAACAGTGGTTCATTGTTCTCATCCTTTTGTCAGGTTAAAGCCCTTGACAGTTATAAAACGCTGGCTGCAAAACACTGCAGCGGACCACATTGATCACCGCACGAAAGTTTTAACTGCGCACACAAGTTTTAACTTTTGACCGGCCCAGTATGCAATTGCAGCTGGCAGTTTCACATATCCGAATATTCGATCAACTGCAGTTTTGAGTAATCCAATACTGAATTATTCGAAAATGGACAGCCCTATTAAAGCGATATCTCAAATAATTGGAATTAACTTTCAATTTGCAGTGAAAATATATTATAATCGGACAAAATTGTGAAAAGTGTTTCTCTTTTTTGCACTTGGCAGGTTCTGAGCGACATTGTTATTGCTCAGGATATCAAGAGAGAACAGGACGAGACAATGGTAAGTATTTCAACTTTTAGATTTTTGATTATATTTTAGTGTTAAGGAACTTACAGGTGCAAGACAAGCGCTTATGTGACCCATGGGCTTATCTCGTATATAGTTTGTATGCCCTTAGTTCTTAAGATGGGAAGGAGAATCAAAAGTCCAATTGTCCGGGATTAAAAGCCAAGATATTTCATGGAGGCTGAATCTTAGCCTACAAAGGGTGAAATTACTATCAGAAAATGGACTTTTTCCAACCAAAAACCACATTTGTTAGAGAACAAAAAACTCAACCAACTTTTTACTGTATATGCTTTCTAAGGTAGCAAAGGAATTTGACAGCTCAGAAATGGATAGGGCTAGTTTACTTTGTCTGAATATTTTGTGGATCTGATTTCACCCTTTAAAATGTCGAATGCATTTCCGAACTTGTGTAATTCCCCAACCTAATTGACCTATCGCCATTTGCGAGTTAGCCACGCCCCTTTAGACAACCCGATTCTATCGCAATAGGTTAACCCTAGCACTCTCAAATCCTCCAAAATCCTCTTTGCAAAATGGAGGATTTTGCAGGATTGAAGTTACATGGCAAAAGTGTGTTGCTGATTTCGGAGGATTTAATGTGTTAAGGTCTTGAGCCGGACCTGGTGTTGTTTGTGCTCAGCCGTGCATAAATTTAGGCCTAGGTTATTCTTGAAATCCTCCGCACTGCTCCAGGATGTCACTGGCTCTGCCTCAACATATTGACAGGCTTTTTGCAGGATTGAGGCAGCGGTCACCCCTCCAAGGACCACATTAAAGAAATAACAGAGGATTTTGCAGGATTGAGGCTATGTGCAATTTTTACATGGAGGCAGTTAGAGGATTTTGCGGGAATGAGGTTGCATCCTAGCTAAAAATGCCTAGGGAGTTAGGGTTAATTTAATTGACAAGACTCCGCTACCATATTTCTCCATCAGCTTTCCTTTTTATCATTTTACAGTCACAGTCCCAGGCTGCAGTGGCACCGAATCCGCTGGACGTGAACTATGAACTACTGAAATGCAAGCTGGAACATTTGGCTCCCAAGTCAAAGGAACACAAGGTAGGACTTCTGAAATTCATGAGATTCATTGACTGTTTGATCAGTCACAGTCAGTCAGAAATTCAATCCAGTCCCCCTCCCATACATTCTAGACATGCAAGTGTATACCAACAGTCAGATCATATTTCTTGCAGGCACTATTTCTTGTAGTCAAATTCCATTAACAGACAGAAGCAAGTAACTGGTTGGTATAGCTTGCTTATCAATCTCCTACAGTCAAAGCGCAGCTGTATCAAGTTACATATAAACATACACAGCCAGGCAAACCTGCTCTATGTAGGCTGGGAGCTCTCACCCGACTGTTTAGCAGTCATTTAATTGAATTTAACAGCTGGAGTCAGGGCTCGATTTACAAAAAAAAAGTGGCATGCACTGGTGCATGTAGACCAAAAAACCTACATGCACCAAGAAAAACCCACATGCACCATAATTGACTTACACCCGTCTGCTTCTCTGAAGGCATTCTTTCTCTTTGATTTATCGAACTTTCTACAGACAGTACAGTAAATAGCCTTTTTTACTCGATCATGCTCAAGGCAAGCCTAGACCCGTGAACGTGGCGTAACGCCACTGTGGCTGTTGTGGCATTTTGAACATGGCGAAATTGATCCGCCATACATAATTTCGTACATGTGTTGAGTACTCACATAGAAAGCTAAATTTGCCTTCCCGCGTGTTCAGGATGTGTCATTTCGACGAAATTTGCCGTCGATGAAAACCCATACGAACGTGTAGAAATTGGATTTTAACCTGACAAGTGACACAAGTACCCAGGGTCATTTGCGTCAGTGCAAAATTATCGGAGTCCTAGCCTCCGAGCTACCCGTCTGCTTCATTCATGTGGCGCATATGATAGGCGGCGTACGATTGGCCAATAACGAGACCACGTGATAAACGCAGCTAATAATTTGGAATGACACTTAGGAACTGGACATAAGGAATGCCCGGAGCGTCAGTGCGATACCAAATTATCCGCAGCATGTATCACGTGGTAAATCACATGCATGATCGGAGGCAAGGCGGTTGCAGGACTTTGAGATCTTGCCAAACTTTAATGCGTATTCTGAATCTGCTGTGAGAAATAATTTATGGATATGTAAAAGAAATAACATGTTTGTACACTATCTGGTCAAGTATTCAACAAACTTTATTTTTATTCTCACTCATATGTAAACAGTAAATATATGCATGAAATGAGTATTTTGGTGGCTAAAAAAGTTACATGCACGTCGTGCATGCTCAGTAAAAAAGCTACGTGCACAAGCAAAAATCTACATGCACTGGTGCATGCGTGCACCGGGTAAATCGAGCCCTGGCTGGAGTGGGAGGGTAAGTGTGAGACTGAACCAAGAATTGGGCTGGAGTGAGATTCAAACCCGCCCACTTCAAATCACCATAGCTGAGCTCAGTGGCGTAGCCACGTGGGGGGGCGACCACCCCCCCATGAAACCTTGTCGCCCCCCCAGTCGCCCCCCCACTGAGATTTTGAGTTTCTAAAAAAATTATCATTGATCTACATGACGCCATGGGCCCTATTATGTACTACAATGTATCTTTTGCTTAGAAAATATTGGTTAAAGTGGTCAGAAATTGCCTCAGATAGCACCACAGAGCATTTAGAATCCAAAATTCCTGGCTACGCCACTGGCTGAGCTCTATCAACTGAGCTGCTTAGTCTCTTAATTACTCATTGTCTTTGTTCATGATGTGCTAGTCAGATCATAGGGGATGCTGAACATCACCAGGGGTGCCGTTCATTATACAAAATGTACATCTTATACAAACATTCGCGCTTACGTCCCTTAACCATACAGCAAATTGGTACGTTTAAAAAACTTTTACGGTTTGTTCTCAGTTTTTAAGGACTGATTCATTCATATTGACTGATGGAAAGTTAGAAAATACTATCAATATTGTACCCCATCAACGGCCAGAAAAGGAGAGTTGGGGGTGACCTAGAGTGGTTTCCGATGCATCTGCTGTGTATTTTGAATGTATCCAAAGTTATTGGAGGCGGGGATTAGTCTCAGAGGCCATTGCAAGTTGAATTTGAACGTATTCGCGTGCGCGCCGAGATGCCTGATGCTCACGCGAAGACGCGGTGGCTATAACTTTTGCACATTCAGGAAGTTCAGGCTGCGCGGGAACCATTACAGTACAGTACCCTCAGGCTGTGTGTCCTGTCTACGGAGCTCTCAAAAGAGATTTAAAACGCGCCCTCTTTTGTTGGCGTACGGAGCCCATCCCATGGGATTTATGCCCTTGGATCACCCCAAAAGTCCCAACACTAGTAGCATTTAGCACTGCTGCAAACCTAGAAAATGTTAAATCCGGGATCACTACGTGGTTTAATATTGGATCAACAATGTTTTATTCAAAGAATTTCCAATCCTGCTTTGAGAACTTAAGCGCCTGATCGTACTTTTAATCCATTGACACAGTGTTTCTTTGATTCAATAATTTGGTTATGATTTTACTTTGTTTCTAGGTGATTTCTACCTATGTTGACCAGACAAAGGGTGGATGGAGGCAGGCAAAGTTGTTGAATGTCTGGAAGGTGGCTAGAGAAGGAGAAGTAAGCTCTGTTATTTACTATTTTTTTGGGGGGGGGGCAAGGGGATTATTGCAAACACAAACATTTCTTTGTCGTATCGTTCCATATTTCAACTTCCATTCATTCATTCATACATACATATATTTCAATATTGCTGAAAAGTACAAGACGTAAAACAAGACGATGAATAAATAACATTAATAAGAAACTGAATAAGGAGCATAAATAAGATACTAAACTAGAGGTTCGCGTTTTGTTGAGTTACAAATGCAGAGTGGTCGGGCAGACAACTATTTCATTAAAAACTGCCCAGTTAAGTTATGAATATTTTTATGTCAGAACAAAGGATCACACAATTTAACCTGTCCAGTACAACCAATTGCCCAATTACATCGGAAGGGGGAGGGAGGGAATAGTACCATAAAAAATACAAAATACTTTTTATGACTTTTGCCGTTGGGAAGGGGGAGTGAAATTGGTCGCTGGGGGGGGGGGGGGGGGGGGGCGACGGCCTATTCCGGTAGCCCAGGAAGGAAAGGTCAACAACTGCCGAATGTGCACTTGTACAGGATGCTATAAAAAAAAAAGGAGGATTACAAAAAGTGGTGACTTCAGATATTCTTCAACCATTAGCAAAAAAATATATACTAACTGTAGCAGAAACATTCTGCTAACCTTTTATAACATATTTGAAAGTAGAATGCATGGCTTGCATGTGCAAAGAGGTTCTGTTGTATTCCTTTTATAAAAAGAAATTCCGCCTGTAATCTTAGCCGACTGCTCTGTGCTTACTGACTCCATGAAAGGGACAGAGATTCGGTAAGCAGAAAATCTTGTGCTGAGCACTGCCGTGATTTCATTCCCAGATTTCATCCATTTTGCAGCTTTGCTGCATTTTTCTTGGGCATTCATATTTCCACACTCGATAAAATGTAATAAAATTCGCAAGTTTAAGGAATAATTAGTCCTTTTTGTCTATGCAATCACTATGTCTGTACGTACATGTACGTGTATGTATGGGTGTATGTATGTAGTATGCATGTATGTGTGGTATTTGGTTAAAGTTTTGTAAAATTGGTCTTATTGCAAAAGTTGAAGTCCAATTGGAACCAAACGTGGGTCATAGATGCAACGTGGCAACCTTCATACTGCAAAAGCAGGGAAGACGCATGGTTCGAGAACCATCTTGTTTTTTACTTAATTGTTTTTCTTCACAAACAGGATAAACGATTTGCTGCCCATGACAGCATTGAGAATCGTCGTCTGTTGTGGCATGGCACTAACGTGGCTGTGGTGGCGGCCATCCTGAAAACGGGCCTGCGCATCATGCCTCACTCTGGCGGCCGCGTCGGCTGTGGAATCTACTTCGCTTCCGAGCATGCTAAATCCGCTGCATATGGTAAGGGCTCTTTCTTCAAATCCATTACTATTCTTTGCATATGAGTCCTGTCATAACCTGAAAGGTAACAATTTTTTTTGAGGTACCTCAATTTACCCCACATCCAACTCTGCCTATAGCACTCCATGGTATTACCGTAGGCCCAAAATTGTTGTGTTACCCTGACCCGACCGACCCTTAAATCTTTGGTCGGGTTTGGTTTTTTCTTTTTTTTCACTTGAAAAGAATTAAATCAACGATGAAACTTTTCGGATTTTAATCAGAAATCCAACTTTTTCAAATTTAATTTAAAAATTCAGATTTTTCTGACCATCTTTTCCCACAAAGTCTAATTTTTTTAGATTACATTTCAACGAATTTGATGAAAACGGCACTCCGACATCTGTATTGTGAGCGCAGTTTTAATCTTAACTACCAGTCGTTAGTGCACAGACTGTATGACAGACACACACAAGTAAGCCCAGGTTAGAGTAGTTTACGGCTGCAAATTAGTTTTGATCCGACATGATTGAAAGTCTAGGTACAGGGACGATAATGAAAAAAATAGAGTGCTACTGCCTTGTGGTCTGGAACATCAAATGCAACATCTGCACGTAATGCTGCAGGTGTTGGGTACGAGTCCAGCTTTTGGGGTTGTGGGCAGGGGCGGATCGGGGGGGGGGGGGGGGTGCACCGATACGCTGGAATGACACACTATAATCATTACAAAAGCCATTATTTCATCTTGACATTAAATCTAGATGAAAAAGCCTATTTTTCTGGCACATTTGTGATCAAAATGTACCAAAGCCATGCCATGACAAAACTTCCCCCGCAGGTTTGAACAAATTCACCCCCCCCCCCTTTGGAAAATCCTAGATCCGCCCCTGGTGGGGGTATGTGCTTGGGCAAGGCACTTTGTCACTAGTTGTTTTTCTCCACTCAAGGGTACCTGTGAAAGGCAGATATGATTATTGTGCTAAATCTTTGCTGCTTGTGTGTGGCCTAGTGGTTAGGGTTCGTGACTCATGATCAGAGGGTCCGGGGTTCGAATCCAGCCGCTGGTCATATATTGTGTCCTTGGGCAAGACACTTCACCCCCACTTGCCCCTCTCCACCCAGGAGTATAAATGGGTACCGGCATTAGCTGGGGAGTAACCTGCGATGGACTAGCATCCCATCCAGGGGGAGTAGAAATATTCTCAGTCGTTTCATGCTACTGAAACCGGAGATAAACGCCGGCCTGATGAGCCACGTTGGCTCGGGACAGACTTACTTACTTGCATAGCATTGAGCTGTATACTCATCGAGTCCCCAGGGAGCTGAGATGGTCTTTGGAATTTTTATGGGCAAAATGAGCAGGGGCAATAATGCTGAAGCGCTTTGTTGAGGACAAAAAAAAAGTGTCTAAGGCAAACCTGGATTTTTTTGGGCCAAATTGCCGACCTCAAACTTTTGATTGCCACTTTGGTTGTTGATAATTTGAAATGAGCACTTTTTGCAAATGTTTCTGGGACTATTTTCTTCATGACCATTTGAACAGAAATGATCCTTACGTACATCTTTAGTGGGTTTCAAACATGGCAAAAGAACACGCAAATGTATGTCTAAAATTTAAAAAAAAAACCTGAAAAAATAAAATTATTTCCCTACCTAACTACCTGGATTTTTTTTCAGGTCGTTACCGTAAACGCACTATTTATTTTGTTTGGCCTGAGTAAAATGAAATATATGTGCGCTTCAAAATCATGCATTGTTATTAGTAGTGTAGAACATGACATTAATCAGTTTTTAAAAAAAATTGTGTGTCATCATACTTTTATTCTTGGCAGTGAGATCTACCAACAACGGTACAGGCATCATGTTCTTGAATGAGGTAGTGCTGGGCAAGGAGCACCATATCACCCAGGGTGATGGCAGTCTGAAAAAGGCCCCGTCGGGCTATAATTGCATCATTGCTAAAGGAAGACAAGAACCAGGTACATTGTTTGGTATAAATCTAAAACACATATTTTATCTTACCTTTGAGTCCATAAAAAGTGAGATTTTGAACCAACTTTGACCCTCCTTTTTATATCACCGTTCACTTTACAAAAAAATCAATTAGTAAACACAATGTACATCCAGGCAATTCATGCCAAGTTCCATCTTATTTGTTGGTTTGATCCAAGCAAAATGTCTGATTTTGTTATGTAATAATTTATAGAAGGCGAGGAATTATTACTTCGTACTGATTTGTCATGCGCTCAAACAATGCAGAGAATAATTTTCAAAACAATTTTGATATGTCAACAGTGAAAACTGGTAGTGCAAGAGTTCATTGTGACCCGGGGTTAATATGAATTATTCATGAGAAGCTTAACAAGAGAACCAATGGGTTGACGGTCATAATTTACGCGTCATATCGCCCCCGACTTATGAATATGTAAATATGCACTAATTTCATGCATGCGCAGAAACTAAATGCCCCTTGGAAACATACGTGAAAAAGGACTTTTTTGGTTTCGCACTTTCAACAGAAAACCTCTCAACTGAACAGTGTTTTCCTGAAATGACATCACATCAACAGTGCCCTCCGTTTTCAGGGAAAAGCATGGAAGTTTATTAATAATTAGAAGGGCACTTTGCAATAAAATCAAATTTTTTTTAAATCAAATGATTTTAAAAAAAAGAGAACTGATTCAAATCACTTTTTTTGTAAAAATCTTATATTCCTAACCAAGCGAGGGGTTGAACCAGAAATTTTTGCAGGGGAGGCGTGCTCAAATGTACACCTTTTTTTTCTCCGGACACTTAGGCATCCGAAAATCTTTTTTTTTGGGGGGGGGGGGTGGGGGCCTCTTACCATATTTTCATTGGGGAGTGGTGATAAAATCCTACAATCGTGCACACTATATTACCAGATAGTGTACAAATGCCCCCCTCCCCCTGTAGAACTGTGCCTGTTCCTAACGTTTTCCCATACAAATTGAGATTGAGATTCATATGCTACGTTTGAAAGGTACAAGGCCCGATTTTTTTTCTTGTGTAACCATGTACATTGTACACGTACCATAAGTCACGTTTGTCATTCATATTCACACACAGCGTATCTCAGCTGTATCAATCAAGCCATGCACGTTCAGTATTGATGTACCATTGAACTTAGGTAGACTACATGTAGATGAAATCAAGTGATTTTCTTTTAATCACTGATTCAATGCAATTTTTTTCAACAGCATTTATCAAATTATTTTTTAGAGTTTTGTGGAGGATGGCTGTTATAGAACCCTGTAAACTCCTTTGTGATAGGTGTGAGGGTACACAGGAAGATTTAAATGCAATTTTAGACTTATCAATATGTTGGAAGTTAAAAAACAAACACAAATCTGATTTAAATTTTAAAAATCTGATTCACAGTAAACTCCGGCCAAAACGACGTCGTACAGTATGCAAGCGATCTGTATATCGTACCACTGTTAACGCTAGCCGGCCGCGCCGTCCTTGCTTCGTACGTGTACATACATGCATGACTTTCTGTGATCAATACCACAGCCTGTTGGTGATGATAAACATTGAGGATATATTTGCTGGAATCAACCATGGATGTAGAAATAAACCAGGGTAAATCAACAATTTGAACCATGAATCTTGTTTGCATGATCCAGATACAGATGCGCATAGGCCATTAATTCAATCTATTTTTTTCACTCCGTGATTCAATTTGTGTATTTGTGTAAGTCAGCAAAATGACAACTTGCAGCAGAAGCCGACATTCGCGTAAGTCGTCTCAAATTCTCTGGTACCGAGAGTGCCGTCTTAGCCGGAGTTTACTGTAAATATATTAATCCGATTTATTTGATTTTTTAAAAATAATTTAAAAAAATTACCAACCCAGATTTTCACAATCATATTCCCTCAGTCGTTAAATCTCACATTTGTTTCTTTTCCCTCAGTCGTTAAAGTTCACATTTGTTTCTTTTACCAGATCCTAAAAAGGATACCAACTTGGTGTTGGATGGCAAGAAAGTTGCCGTGCCTCAAGGGAAGCCTGTCAATCAGAGTAAATACAACAACAGCCACTTCTCACAGAGCGAGTATCTGGTGTACAGCGAGAGCCAGAACCGTATCCGCTACATGCTGGAGTTTAACTTCCACTAAAAATGGCAGCAGTGGCGAATCGGATATTGTGATAGAAGGTAAAATGAAAAACAAAAACAAAACACAGCACAACTCGACTCTTGTCAAAAATATTAGGACAAATGAGAAGTTTCAAGTATCAGATTTATTCTTGAAACACAATTCTTGGTTTTGTTTGAAAAATAGCTGGTTGGATTTTATTTTTTTCAAGAAACATTTACAAGTTTTTTTTAATAACCCTATAATCTCATAGATTGTATATGTTTTTCATTTTTTTCAATATGGTTTTTAAAATCCCCCAAACACTCGGATGCAAGAACAAGAGATAACATTTTAAGTGTATTAGAATTACACTTGCAACTTACAACAGGCCTTCATTTTTAGAAATTCGTGGAGCTCAGTTAATCGCTCTCCTGGGAAATCCGAGGAGCTCAATTTGAGCACCCAAAATTGCTCTCCTAGAAAAGTCCGAGGAGCTCGATTTGCATGTTTTGTGCTCAAAGTAAAAAATGAATCCAAATCATTTCCTGAAGCCTTTCATATCATGCACACACACTTGCATCAGAACTGAGAAACAGATGCGACTGTTCACTACAAACTGAGTGCTTAATTCATGTCACTCAATTTAATAGGTTTAAGTTTTACTTGTTTGTGAATCATCCTGATGTGGAATTGGAAATAAAAATGAAAAACAAATTGGAGTTGACTTGTGGTTCTTTAGTGTTTCTTTTTTGTTCTATTTTACTTCGTTTTTATTATATTCACTTTATTTTATTGTTATTTTTTGTTTTATTTACTGTTTATTTCAGTTTTTATTTATTGATTTTTTTTTATCAAATAGTTTGTTTTGGTTTACTAACTTTACTAAAAACCTGTTTTTGTTTAAATTTGCATATGTATCATGTGGTGTAACCGTGTTTTTGAGGGGTTCTAAAATTATATCCAAATTGATGAATAGAGCCCCCTCCCCCCCCCCCAAAAAAAAATCCAATTAATTTATTAAAGTCCGGTCATACATCTGTCAAAGAAACACTTTTTTGTCACATAAATCCTCAAAATTAGTAAAATAGAAAAGGAAAATAATTATATGAATATCTGGTTTTGGGCACAAAAAATAAAAGGATCGAAAGTAAGGTCACAGAAATGTACAAGTATTAAACGCCATTACAAAATGTCGAATGGTACTACGCACAAACAATGTCACCGTGCACGGGTGGCCAGTTGACCGGCCGCGCTTGCGGCGCATAGCCCGGTAGTCGACACACGGAAAATCGCTCTGCACTCTATCGTTGTGGGACAAATGAGCTCAACCTTTCGTAAGGTATTTCCAACCCAAACTTGTCAAAAATGAACGCTAGTTTCTTGTGGATGTACCTGAGATCATTCAAAATGCCGTTCAAAAACTCTGGCTCCCTTTGGAACATCACAACTTCCAGAAAAACGGTGTAATTTCACTGTTAATTGTCTGGCTGCACAGTATTAGACCGCGCACAAGTAGGCCTACGCGTTATGCGTGGGATCGGGCGGGGGACGGGTCGGTCTCGCGATCGCCCGGCACACCACACTCAACACGTGTGGGCCACGTCCATTTTATCGAAAAATAGGGGTGTTGGTATTACAAAGTAGGTGGTTTCAATTGCACAGCCCATCCATTTCATAATTGTTTTGTGTTTTCACTTCATCGGAGGTTTATTTATTTAGTTTTACATTATAAATATTTATAAACTGATCTCAACCGAAATTATTATTTCATTTTATTCACTTAATGGCGGTGCACGTCTGAATGACGATCCTGCCAGTACCCTGCCCTGATCATAATGGAACGTGCTACATGTCGTTGATGAAAAGAAAATGGCTAATGTGTCCATGTACGTGATGTATGGGATGGCTCGAGTAACTGCGATGTTTACAAAATCCTTGCGATGATTATGGGTGGATTTTACGAAGGTTTTCGACTTACTTTTGTTGATTTTTTTTGCAACAAAATCGTTCAAACATCGGGATGACAAGTTAAGAAATCAAGTATATAAAATTTTGATTGACAAGATTTTACTGTTGGCTTTATGTAGACAAAAACTGGAGTCGACAATTAATGAGCTTACAAATTTACCGAGGAGCGCTATTATTCGCGCGCCAGAAACCGTGTTGAGGAGCGCGAAGGAGCGCGATCGCGCTCGCGCTCCTTAAAAATGAAGGCCTGTTACAAATCAAAAAAGCCCAAATTCTTGGTACAGATTGTCTACCAAGAGCTTTGAAATATTTGGCGTGAATGTCGTGATCGTAAAAGTGTTTCTTGAACGGGTACCCAGGTATCCGTGTTTTTGGTCAATCGGGTATCCGATTCCTGTACTTCCCATAAATCCACACTCCTATCTTCTTTACTATGTAGGGTGGCGATGCTATCTTTCTTTGGTCGGAATGGCCTTGTTCACAAGTATGCATATATCGTGCAATACAATGCCCCAAATTTTTGGTTTTTATTTTAAAATGTGGATACGTACATTTGTTAGCATAGCCTCATGATTTATCCAAATTAGTAAGCCGCCCTTACACACCAAACATCCTTCAGTGGGATAAGGTTACAACTCACCTAAGCACAATACAGTACATGCTGCGTACGTTGAGATGAAAAGTTCCACTTTGGGGGTTGACAAATCCAACCCCCCCCAAGTCTCGGTTTAGATAATGAACCTGGTTGATCCTACGTCAGTGGTTATAATGACCATAAATGTATTTGTTAGCCTCGCACTCAGGAAAGAGTAAGGGATTTTGAGACTATGTTCATGTACAGATTACACTGAAATAACCAATATATCTGTTAAAAGACCCCAACAAATGTTGGTACAGATTAATTACCAACAACAGATTTTGTTTCACAAATGTAAGTTTTGCATGTTTAGGATGTCACCATTAGACTTCCAAGCTCAACCTGATGAAAGATTTTTCAAGGGATTGTATGTGAATGGGCCATTTCATTTTCAATTTAGCTACCAAAGGAACTGTGCTTAACCCTCCTACTATTTAAGCAGTCACAGACAGTCAAAATTTCCATCAAATTTCCCTGCTATACTTTCTGCGGCTAGTCACCAATAGTGACATCATATGTCAAGCAAGCACTGTGTCTATAGTCACATTCAGTCAACAGACAAAAGCAGACAAGTTGTAGGCACAGCTGGTTTATCAAAGCTGTATCAAGTTACATAAACAGTCACAGCCAGTCAATCCTGATTTATGTCGGGCGGGGAGCTCTTAACTGTTGAAAACAATCACTTGAGTGATTTTGACTGAAAGGACAACTTGGCACAAAATGTATGTTTGCATAGGAGGTTAATGAATTCGTAGCATACAGCTCATGTCAGTTATGATTATGGCAGTGAAATGAGCATGGACTGTATGTTCAACCTTTATAATGGGTGCAGTCAAATTTGCTACTCTTGCAAAATGTTGTTGATCATTTTATGCTGTAAAGTCTATTATACCATGCTGTTGTTTATCTTTTGCTTTTAAGACAACATTTTTTTTCTTGGATGGTTCAGAGTTTGAATTGAGTAGATTAGTTAGAGTAGTCTGTTATTTTGCTTACAAATGGAAAGTGAGATGAGCCTTTTAACAAATATATTTTTATGAAAGAAACAGATTTGGTCAAATCTGGGGAAATATTTGCCAAAAGTATAGCTTTGCTTGTATTTAAGCATGAAATCATTGATATGACATGTAGTTATTAATTTTTTTTTTAATTTTACTGTTTTAGTAAAATAGATGCAATGCATGCTGTAGCAATTTGAAAATCATGAGAGAACAGTGGCGTTACAATTTAAAGTAGCTCAATTTATTACTTGAAGAACTTTACAATTTTCACTATAAAATTTAGAATATTGTTGTTTGTCAATACAAAATTAATTTCTAGAGTATTTTTAAAAGTGATGATATTTAAAAAAAAAAAATCCGTTTGAGACTTTAGTTTGTGTTAAATACGTTTCTAAAAATGTACAAGAAATACCTGATACTTGTATTCAGTGTCCTCTATAGAAAATCACGATGTTTTTAAACCATAATGTGAGGAAAAAACTAAGTTCATATCGAAGTGCCAATCATGCCTTGTTAATTACAATTATTTAATTAAATCGTTTTAATACTTCATAGTAATGTTTGTGTCTATTTTTTAAATAAATAAGTAAATATACTTGTCTATATTGAAATATACACATTTAGATATGATTGATATCAGTTTTATCACCAAAATATATGAAGTTTTGACTAAACTTGTTTAAAACTTTACAACTTTAAAGTTTTACACAATTTTTAAAAAAAGAATCGTAGATTATAAAAGTGTATTGAATCAATTGGAATTATATTTTGATTCCTAATGATTAAAAGTTATGAATAGTTATTGGAGCAGCTGATATAGGCTTAATTAACAACTGGTGTTTGTTTGGCTTTGCTTTGTTGGAAATAGGAAATTTTACGTAAAGTAAACAATCTTTGAAAAGAGATGTCTGTGATTATTGTTTAGCATTATTGTGATAGTCATGGCATACACTCTGAAATAAACTAGTATACAATCGAAGAATACTGTGACATGCGACTCCTTCATTTGTTCATTACCTCCGTCAACGAGGTTATGTTTTCATCGGCGTTGGTTTGTTTGTCGGTTGGTTGGTTTGTCTGTGAACAAGATAACTCAAAAAGTTATGGACAGATTTTCATAAAATTTCTTTTAGGGGTGGTCCTTGGCACAAGTACAAATCAATTAGATTTTGGAAGTGATCCGGATCTGGGTCTGGATGCAGGATTTGTTTTGGAGGATTCTTCACCATTTATGCGAGTATTTCGTTCGGGTGAACTGACAATATGGCGGTGAATTGTTCAGCCTTGGCGGAGGTTAGCGCTCTCTGAGTGCTTTCTAGTTGTGAGAAGTACTGCGTTCCAATGCTTCCCTTTTCGTTTTGTTTATCTCTTTCAGTGCAGTTATTGTTGTACACTGAGGGTAGATTCGTAAAATGATGGAGGTTTTCCAACGAATTTCACCATTCTTAGTTTATTCATGTGGGACATACCTTAGGGGCAGCACAGGGCCTAGGGCCTATCCACTCGGCAACATTTCGTCTTTTTTTTTGAGTAAATGAATACGCCAACACCGCACAAACTTACACAAATATACATGCTCCCATTTTAACCATGTTTACGTGTTTAAACAAAAATAGTAACTCAGTCCACTTTTTCATAAAAAAAGTTTCCTCTGGTCCAAAAACCTTGACACACTACTGTCCCTGATATCACTTTCTTGACGCCCATAAAAATGCCCACCTCATTAATTCATCATACACTGCGTATTGGAGTTCCGATTCTTGCTTCACTTTGTGAGAAGAGCAAACGTTTTTTTTACTTTTGATATTCCTTCTCATTTGGTTTTTCGGCAATTTGTGTTTCTCAATACGTAGGCCTAATAGTTTTAGCTTTTCCCGTAAGTTTTCATGCTTTGGTCTGTCTTGGTCCAACTGTCCGTGTGTAAACTCTTCTTGTTATTGTTTGTGTTAGTCCGTCCAAAGCATCTCGCCACAAGCCTAGGCTTGCACGAGAGAACTCCTCCATACCTACATGTATTTTCGCCTCTTACACCTTTTTGACAATTCCATTTACTTATTCATTTAATTATTCGTGTATTTTCCGCTTATATTTCTCAGTTGGTATGGAAATACATGTGAGTTTGAATTGAAAGTAATGTTGAAAAAAAAAGAGGAGGCCAGAAAATGACCCGCAAAGCCCTTTTACTGGAATGTGGAGAATAAATAGGCCCTATGATGTTTAATGATGACTTCAATCTCTGCTGAGTAGAGAGAACTGGTTGAAAAAAGTGCACGCAATCGGTTTGTTCATTGATAATCACATCATGTCATCTGCTATTCTCCAGTGTAAGATTTTGCAGGTGACACGTCAACAATTAAACTCTTTTTCATTTTGAAAAGCAATAAGACTTGCAAATTGCTTTCTGACTGATTTGACCTGTAATATACTAATATAAAAAAATAAAGGCGGTATGATGTTTCGAACTTAACAAGTTGTGCTTCAGAGGCAAAAAAAAATAATGAAAAATCTTGTGCAAGTGGGCGTTTGTTTAATTTTGGTGTACCATGGGCGTTGCGTGCTCTCTCTCCCCCCCCCCCAACAAGCAAAAAAAAAAGGAAAAAAAGAGGGAAAAGGGGGAAAAAGGAAAGAAAAAGAGGCGTGAAGTTATTATTGTTGTTAATTTAATGGGGGGGGGGCTAATGTCCCTGCCCACCCTCGGAAAAAAATTATCAATCGGGGAATGCTGGAAAATATAGGGATTTTGGGGGAAAATGTGCTTTGCCCCCCCCCCCCGAAAAAAATCCTGGCGACGCCCCCATGGATGTATCCCTTCCCGTGCTCAATAAAGAACTATTTATAAATGATGGAGTAAACCAATATGCACTTACTCAAAGGTTAATGGAAGTGCCCTTGAATGCGCTCGATAATTTCATTATCATTCCACAAAGGGCATCATGAAAATGGCAAGCCCTCTAATTTGCGCGAGAGTGCATCCATAATTAATCTAACCAAACTCACTCTTAGTTTGAAGTCTCCATGGTTACAATAATAATCCTACGCATCCCTAGTCATGGTGAGCCCTGATTTAATCAGCAATAGCCAATCAACGTGGAGATAAGAACACCCTCACGTGACGAGAACCAATTATTATCAAACCTTCTGATTGGACAATATTTACACAGTCGATTTGTGTAACAGGTAGCAACCTGAAGAGTTATGTTATAGGTATATCAGATCTTTTTTTCGCAAAGCTCCACATGGTAGATTATTTGCTGCTTCAATAGATAAATGTCCAGTGGATGTTTGGTTACAACATGGTTACAAGGAGAACAAGACTAGTTCATCTACAGACAAAATCCTTGTAGGCCTATATTTGACTTCACTTTTCTTAAAGCAAAATCGAAAAACCATTAAAGGAACTGACTGACTCCCGTCGACCATGGGCTGTTACAAACGCTGTTACCTCCGCCACTGGGCGCTGGCGGTTACGGACCTTCACGGAGTCAAACACATCGCCGGGGACGGCGGCATCCTACGCCGTCTGATGTGGGCGGTGTTCTTCCTAGCCGCGCTGGTCATTTTCCTGTACCAAGCCACGCAGACCATGATCCACTTCTTCGAGTCGCACCACATCACCAAAGTGGACATCTCCTACCGGAAAAAGCTGGACTTTCCGGCCGTGACCGTCTGCAACTTCAACAAGTACCGGGAGTCGGCGCTGACGGAGCGAGACATCAGAAATGTCGGCTACCATTTGGGTGAGTTGCCAAATATTTGTATCTTTTCCATTTGAATACTTTTAGACAAGATAAGTTTGCGGTATCACCATGTAAATAAATCTCTTTTGTGAGTATGTGTGGTTCTGAAAAGAACCGGAGGGACTCAACGTTTCGAACAGTTTGCTCTGCCCGTCGTCAGGAGAATGAGTTCCAACGATGATGCGATGTTGAGATTGCATCCTTCTCACGCCTCACCGCACCCATCCTTATAACATCGCATCATCGGGCTGGGGGGGGGTCCCCCCCCACACACACACATTCCCAGTGCGCCCCCCCCCCCCCCCCGGCCAGGTGCCCCCACCAAAAATCTGAAATTTGCAGCTTGCCAAGGAAGTGTCTTTTTAGGTTTTTTTTTGCATCAGTGCCATGAACGCGCAATGCACCCCACCTGACACGTGCCCCCATCCCACCCCATGCCTAGACCTGTAACTGTTCATGCATAAATTTACGAAGTCTTTTGTCACAAGGCAAATAAGGATTTAATGAAAGATATTGTTTGTATACGGATAAGTTACATCATTGTTGTAAACAGAGAAAATAATGCAAATCTTGTTGGAACACATTCAGTGATTCATTCACACCTTCAATAATGTAGTCTGTGTTATGGTCCGCCAATATGATATTTTCGTCTCCAGAAACAAAAAAAGTCAATAAATACGTAGTATATTTATGTAAAAGTAAATCGGGTCAAGAAATCGGGTCTTTTTCACAGTATTTGGCAAATTGGCAGAGGCGGGGGTAAACACTCTAAAAAAAAATCATCGATATTAACGAATCAATTTTAATATTAAAAACCTTCCGTCACTTCCGCCCTCTCCATTGTCAATAGACCTCATGGGATAATTATCTCACAGGCTTGTCCTTTTTTGGGTTTCAATTTAGTAACAATGAATGCAAAATGGTCTACCCAAGCTTACCCTAGCGATGCAAAGACCATAAGGTCTGCACACTCTCTCCTCTTTGGCACTGCAAACTAATTTTATCCTCCCTCGTGAAGTTCCCTCGGGGATAGAGATCGGAAGAAGACGAATTGCATACACGTTGCGATATTGACAGATAATTAAACGAAATCCATTACCGTGCATCATAGCTGCAATCTGCTTGAAATTACGCCATATAGGTCATCATGGCTCGAAGTGGTTGCCGGAGATTAAAAACAGGTTTATCACTGTAAACAGTCGTTGACCCTGAATGAGTTAATTGAACTGTCCAATCACTCTTACGTCAACGCTGTGGTTGAAGCGCCACAAAATTACTGAATGCGTCTCCTCTTTGTCTCCAAGGCAACGAGATCAATGAAAAGGACACTTCAATTAGCTGCATCGTTCATGTAGTAATTAAATTGCCATAGACAATTATGATTAATCACTTTAAAAATATAGAAGCATAAAATACACTGTAAAACTCTTCAAGTTGTTCAAGACACAAGAGTAATATTTCTCTCCACTTGAAGATGATAATTATACTAAAAGGAGTCTTAAAGCCCGTCCTCCCCCCCCCCCCCAAAAGAAAAACTCCGGTAGGCCTACATTGCAAAAATGAGCAAATATCGGCCCAAATGTCAACCAGATTTCTCAGGAATACAACAAGCTTAAAGTCATACTCCCAGCGAGGACCCTTCATTTATACAAACCATGTGGAAACCCAATTGAGACAAAAATGGCAGCCGGCAAATGTTGACTTGGCTTGCGTGGACAAATTGGAACCTATTTAAAAACATGTCTTAACATTGACAGTAAAATGCAATGCCATGCCATGCCTACTAATGAGAAACTTACTTTCATTTTGAAAATTATGCAGGCCTATCGAAAATCTTGGAAATCCTTTCCTTGTTTTTTTGGTTACAGGCATCGTCGACAAGGACCACAATCTCATCAACCCGCATCTGTACACGGAGGAATTCAGGCAGAAGATGGCGGCTGTTGATTGGTCGGTGCAAGATATTGACTCTAACTACAACATGACGGAGTTTACCAACCGTACAGGGCACCAGTTGGATGAGATGATAGTGGAGGTGGGGTTCGGGACTATAGTCAAACCTGCATTTTTAATTGTTTTTAATGTCAACTGCAAGAAGAGGCTACCTGCCCAGTATAGATAGCTTTTGGCGTTCCCTTGAAATGCGTATAGGTTGACGTTGGGAACGCCAAAAGCTTGTTTTATTGTGAAGGTTTAGCCTATTATCCAGGTGGACACACAAACGACAGGTTAAACCTTAGTCCCGAATCTTGTCTTCACAATTATTTCTTCTTTATGAAGGCTCCAGTAGAATCGTTATTTTCATTGTCAGGTCCTGATTACCTATTTTCAATCTAATCATTCTGGTTTGAGTAGGTCTAGGCTAGTTGACGAACAAACATCATCCGAGTAAAATGAGGATGCGTGACAGTGCCTATGATTCTCGAATACATGTACTCAATATTTTGTATTAATGGACATTACATCAACAATTTATTTAGAAGCATGCCTTTTGTGTGGTCTGTTAATATCCTAAAAGGCCAAATGCCTTAAATTACAAATAGCTATTCTCGATCCTTTGCGGATCCAGGAAACCCCAGTTGAAGTCCCTTCCATCTTTCTTGATTTTGCTGAATAAGCCTCGCCCATCTTAGCCCATCCCATGTCTATGAAAAGTAGTTGTCGCCAGATTGTTCGCTTGCAGATGATTGACAACCGCGACCATTTCATCGAGATGATTGAAAATGTTTGGTACGCTATGTTTAAAAAGTCTGCCCCTCTGATTTCTATACACACCCATATGATAACTTGTACGTTATTTTGTGACCTTTTGTGACCTTTTTTGTGACCTCATTTGTTAGTTTCCAACTTTTTGGCTGCTCTTTTTTTTACCTGTAGTGCTCTTGGAAGGACGAACCCTGTTCTCCCGCCGACTTCCACCACATCTTCACCCATCTTGGAAACTGCTACACCTTCAACCATGTCGACTTAAAGGAAGAGCGTCATTCCTCGATTTCTGCGGGAGCAGGTTTGTATCAAACTTATCAAAAACGATTTGTGCAACCCTTGAACAATTAAAAAAACCCAAATAAAACAGTTTTGGTCCACAAGGGCCAACGCCGTAGAATTTCTATGGAATAATTGAAATGCTTAATGTATCTCAGTTACCTTAATAAGAGTATTCTTTTCATTGCTTTATCTAGGTGTGTTTCAGAACGTCAATGCTAATGACAATTTCTATATTCATGCATAAAAGAGTATTTGATGAAGGTGAAATTTTGATTCTTAGTGACTCATGTTGACAAAGACTTTTGTTGTGGTTGTGTTTCGTGATTGGGCAAGCATACCGGCTTTGCACAGTGAGCTGCACCAGGAAGTTTTACAAGGTTCCCCGGTAAGAAAATAACTGCATGGTAACAAGTGCCTGTCACTCGCTCGTATACCTACCATCATATCTACGGGCACTGGTGACTGCTGGTTGTCTCTTTCACAACATATTTTGAAGGAAAAGGATTCTCGAGAAGGCTATGTGGGTACCTACCATCTTCATGCACGGCGATGGGCACGTGCGATGTCGTTACGCTGAAATGTAGGCGGCAGATGACGGTAGTCCAATTTTGATCACGGCAGTTAATTAACAACTTAGTTAACGCCAACAGTTACATATCAACCGTCCCATCTCGTCTCCTTGCAGCCAATGGTTTGAAATTGACCCTGGACATTCAGGAGGAGGAGTACACGCCTAGCAACGACCTAGACGGAGCAGCCGAGGATGCAGGAATCAAATGGATGCTGCATCATCCTTCAGAACCACCTTACGTCAAGGAGCTGGGCTTTGGGGCCGGGCCCGGCCACCATACCTTCGTCGCTGTTCGTCATGAGGAGGTAGGCCTATACATAGCCAAATACATAATCGCTCAAATTGTGACGTCACTCAGACGTCGCCGGGTCGCTGTGGATAAATTCAAACGTACCGCATCGTTAAACCGAAGTTGTGTTGAGTCAATCATTTCAGTCACTCACATAAGGCAAATCAAAAGTCACGTCTGAACTAACAGGGGATGAACTTACCACTTGACTGTGAGACCGAAGATTTGTGACTGATGGACTGGACTTACTATATAGGCCTAACTGTTGTTTCTTTGCTTATAGGTACAGAGTCTGCCTTACCCCTACACTACGTGCATGGAGAACACAGCGGGCCTTCTAGACTACTTCGACCATTATTCGCTGCAGGCGTGCCGGATCGAGTGTGAGACCCAGATTGTAGTAGAGCGATGCGGGTGCAAGCTGGTCGAACAACCGGGGGACGCCAGGGTCTGCAACCCGGCCGAGTCACACGAATGCGCTCACATCGTGCTGGGTTGGTTGAACTTGAAGTCTATTAAGAAGTATTCAAATATTGAAACTTTTTTTAAAGAGTTTCAGGTTTTGTGTGTTATCCAAAACGTTCAATTCAACTTGAACTGACCTCCAATTGTCAGACTTTGCTCAAGTCGGGTCGTTCCCGTGCTTGGTTGGTCGAGTATTATATCATTCTCCTTTATGCATATATCATACAGTTCAAGCAGTGGCGGGCCACATAGATACCCCCTGCAAGTGCGATTCCCCATGCGAGGTTGAAGGCTACCCCTTCGTAAATACCAACGTCAAGCTACGCGCCAGGTACATAGAGAGAATATACAGCAACACCACGCACAACTTCTCTGCCGATTACATACAGTAAGTGCAACATTCGACGTTCTTCCTGCTGGATTAAGCATGGGTCGTTTCGGGAAATCAGAAACAATCAGCACACTGTTTGTTTTCGATATATGTAGCTCTTAATTGTTTATTATGTTGGACATGTTTAAAGTTGGAACCCTTATCCTGACGCTTGAGGGCTCTTTACCCCCGCTATCGAGTTGCATGTCGTGTAGAACTACCAAGTTTACCCCTGCATGGTGGCGCACTTCCAAAACCCTTGAATAGGAAAATGAAAGGGCAAAAATTCAAAACATTTGAAGGATTTTTGGTACATTGATTTCTTAAGAAAATCCCGCGCAAGGGGTCCTGAAGCTCGCCGCGCGACCTTTTACTTTCAGGCTCATTGTGAAAGCCGGTCGGAGTCGTTAAACCAATTTAAAGAATTTGTGCACATTTCAGCCTAAGTTGTAAAGTGTAAATAATAACATGTTGTGTGTTTTTGTCCAGGAACAATCTCGTGCTTCTATCTATTTATTACGAGGCCCTCAATGCTGAGACTGTGACACAGCTTCCTGAGGTGACCATACCTAGCCTGCTAGGTAAGAGAGATGGTGACTTTATGATTTTTAATATCACCGGTGAATTATCATTCAGGAGAAAAGCAGGGTTCAACCTTAACTTTTTTCACTAGCCAGCCAGGCAACTGAAACAGACTCTTAACTAACCCGCGGGCATTTTCGCTAGCCTGCTCTTTGTTTTGTCTTATAAGCAACAATGTGCATACATGTAAAACGGATATCCCGAGGCAATCGTGTTAGTGTTTTTAATAAACAGATCTAATAATTTAACCCTAAACAGTTAATACAATGAGACACAAATTGATACAGGTTTGCCTTCTGAATTTAATTATTTATTTCTTCTTTTCCTTTCATCTTTGCCGTATCTCAATAATTTTCGACTCGCCAGCCGGGCTACTTAAGGAATAGTTTGACTAGCCCACCCCTGTTTTGACTAGCATTTGGCTAGCGTGCTACCGCTATTTAAAGTCGAACCCTGAAAAAAGTCTAACAAAATAACCAAAACTCACTTGCAAAAGTGGAGTAACTGATTGGCCTTAACTAGGGGTTGATCAGAAAGCTTATGATGGCTCTACTTTCTGTGAATAGCTCAGAAGATGTGACATTGATTGGTAAAACAATAATTGTTGAATGGAATTTCACTGCTTAGCACGAAATATTTCATTACAAGTTTTCCTGCTCAGCAAGCCTCGGCTGGGAACCAGTTAAAAGCAGTATACGTCGTGTGCAATTTTGGTTGGTAACCTGTTGGTTTTTTTGGGGGGGGGGTGGGCAAAGGCTTCGCATGCTTAGCAAAACTGTGTGCTTAGAAGCTATGTGAAATTGGCCCCCAGGATTCTATACAGATTGAGTAAAAAAAAACGGAACTCAAATATTGGGACTATTGTTTCAGTAAAATTCTGCATTGTAGCACTTTTAAATGAAAGCCCAATTCATAAGCTTTCTTTTAGTACAAGAATCATTCAAATCACTCACATACTTTTCAAGTTACGAAATTTTAAACACAACCACCTTTTTAAATTTCTGTCCACGGATCACAAAAAAAGGCGTGCGTTCTCTCAGCAAAACGAAAATAATTTACACACATCCCTATGTGATTTGTTTTCGTTTTGCTGAAAGAACACTGACTTGGCCTTTTTGTGGACAGAACTTTAAAACGGTAGTTGTGTTTAAACTCCCATAACTTGAAAAGTACTTTGAAAAGTACTTGCGTGATTTGAATGATTCTTGTACTAACAGAAAGCTTATGAGTTGGGCTTTCACATCCTCGATATTAAAAGTGCTACATGCAGAAACTTCACTAAAACAATAGTTCCGACATTTGGGTTTCGTTTTTTTTTTACTCACCCTGTATTGTGCCATTACCTGCAGTCGTCGCGGTTTCTTTTAACCAAGTTTTGTCTAAGGTCCAGTTCAAAGCTGCTCTTGTCACAATCCATTTAGAATTCTGCTTCAATAATTTTACCATTGAATTGGACTTTTCTTTGAGGGCGTATCCATTCAAGTCGAACTGATACCAAGGTTACATTTTCGCATCTCGTTAGGAAGAACCCTAAGCATGACTCCCCTTATACTGACTAATTCTTTTTATTTTGGGAAACTTCTTTTCCAGCTGCTTTGGGTGGGAACTTTGGCCTGTTCCTTGGGGCCAGCGTCCTGACCATAGTAGAGCTTTTCGAGTATCTCTTCGATGAACTGACAGCGTCCTGCACGGTCGGGAAACGCTCCAATCGCACCGGCAATTCCCGCGCCGTCTTGACGGCCAAGGAGAAGAATACAGCGAATACCACGAATACCGAAATATCGGTCATCAGTGTCGAAGAAGAGATTAAGATCAAATAATAGGGCCTGAAAGTCAAGGTCTCGCCAAGAGCTCGCGGTGGAACCCTTGCTCGGTTTCGCTCGTACCCCCCCCCCCCCCCTTGGTTTGCCTATGGTATTTGATATTCGGTTGCCTTTTATAATTTTTGGCGAAATGATTTTTTTAATTTAAGCACAATCATATTAAAATGTTATATTGTATTCCTCAAGTAAATTAAAGGGGAAACACTTTTCAAGGGTCCCGGAAGCGCTACCAAGAGTGAACTTTTAGGCTGTATACTCTGCAAATAAGTACGGCAGACTGGTGGCGGGACTGTGCCTTTGATGATACAAGCATGGCACTTGGCACACAGTCAGGGTATCTCTTAAGGAAGATATTTTGCTTTAGGGCCATTTTTGGCTTGGCGTCAAACAGAATCAATATTTTTCCTGCATTACCTAAATTATGATCTTTCAAATGGCCTATAGACGATAATAATTTATATTGTTATACCTCTGTCTTAAATACTGTATTTTCATTGGCCTATAGAACGATCACGTGTTAAGTTGATAAAAAGTCACGGCACACTAGGCTGTGAGATATCACGTATGTGATATCCACAGGGAGTGTGCTATGAATTTGTACGTACGGTATGACGGTGTGAAACGCTTGTATCGTTGGTACCCACGCCATTTTCACCATGTTTTCTAACATGAGTGGGAGAGCAGCGAACTAGCAGACGATCAGCTGTTTCGAGCAGTATTAGCACGCGACATGCATGTGAGTTGACGTTCGATTGTCATGATTGTGTTTACTGTAGTTTGTTCACGTGATTTTTCCATCAAAATCAAAAGAATACAAGACAGAGGTATAACAAAACAATTGTTGACTGCTGTGATGTGGGATATGGCGTTTTGAATACCCGAGGTGCGCATAGCACCCTCGGCGAATGATCGAGTAAGTTTCGTTAGGTATGAACGTAGGTCTAGTTGAATCATCTCTCGATTACAATGATGAAAGCAATAGTTTGGAAAATCAGATAGAGAGTAAGTGTATTAAGTACTAAGTTTGTTCAAACATACGTTTTTTTAATGAATCGATATCAAGAAGGAATGTTTCTGGAGCTCATACCTATGCCTTTACCCTTTTCAGGTTATTGTAAATACGGTACATTATATTTAAGCACCTCAGGTCTACTTATAAATGCAAGAGTGTATGATTAATTATAAATGATATTAAAAAGTGCTACAGGGTATAATTAAATTTATTGCGGTCATTCATGACAAAAAACGCATCGATTGATCTGAGGGCCATTGATGAACTAAAGATCGATTCGTGACGTAACTTGCGCATGCGCAATAATTTCCAAGTGGTCGAACTGCGACCATGCAGTTCTGAAGGCTGATCACAAATAGTTGACAGGACAACTGTTCTTACCATTGTTGACTAGCGTATAGACCTTTATCATGCTGTCACCATTTCAGTCATGTTCCCTGTGTTCAATAACAGGACTGAATGGTAATGTTTTTGTGCAAAAAGGAACCAGACTATTTTGCCTTCCAGCCTCGCTTTGATTACATTGATTTGAATGGGAACAAATCAAATGGCTGCAACATGATAATGGTCTATAAGCCTGATGAAGGTCAGTCGGGCCATTGCTAACCACACAGTTTGATCGCACTTTCTCCAATTTTTCCGTAAAAGATTTGGAACGAACATCACTTCGAATGTGTTGTGAAGTAGGATTTCACAAGAGGACCGCATGATAACACGGGATGAAAGTAACAATGGAAACGTCGAATTTGTTTTCTTCTTTTTAACATGATTCTATACACTAGTGTTTCTAATGAAATTAAAGTTAATTAAACATTTGAAGAAATTTAATGATGATAGTTTATTATATAGTATAATATACTATTTTAATGCCAAATATTATTGCACTTTTCAGGCAAATTCATTGTGGACTGAAATAATTCTGCTTTATCGAAATAATAAATAGAGTTATATTTCAAAAATACCTGATTTGAGTTGTAGTGACTTTTAAAGTGGTTTCTGTTTTTCAAAGTTCCACCTTTACACCACTTTCTCTGTCTCTCCAGAAACTACGGTACCTACCGGTCCAGGTTTTCTGTTTCTAAACTCCCACAAGAAAAAAAGACCAGTAATCGTTTTCATAGCTCTCCGTTGTGTCATGTTAAGAATAAAAATGAAAATCTGCATATTCATGTTGGAGTTTCAAACCAACTTGGCTATCCAAGACCCAATTTTCTAAAAAATGATTTCGAATTCAACATTTGTTTCGTTAAATCCCGAAAACTGCCACATTTTTATTCTTTGTCTTAATCGGTGAATTGAGGGTCCATGAAGCAATCTAGTCACCGTAGCCTACTAGTTGATATCGCCGAGAATCATGAAGGAATCTTCGTGTTTTTTTTTAATTAAGGAAAGCAAACGTGCAAGTTCTTAAGTGGGGGCTGCAAACTGACAGTTCAATCAATATGCATGTAGGCCTACAGGGTGAGTAAAAAGGAAATTGACCTTTATTGTTTTTTTTCTCTTAAAAAGCAATCAAATTTGATACACTAGTGAAGTATGTCTCAAAAAGGGCATGTTTTTCTACTCATCTGGAATTTGTTTTTACTGAAATTGATCCATGCTATCAGAAGCATGTTTTACCATATTAAGAACATATTTTTATAGCTGTCCATGGAATGCCATTTGAAGCTGTTTGAGAATTGCAGATGACACACAGGCTTTCAAATACAAAAATGAGATTGTAATCGTTTGCGTTAAGACGGAAACATTACTTTTACTGTCAGATTTTGTGTTTTGAATATGACGAACAAGTCAACTCTTTTATTTCTGAAATATTGTTGGCGATTTTGTCTTTTTTTCCTTTGAAAGTTTTCGTTCATTCATGGAGTTTGAAAAACGTTCATGTTTTGTTGTATATTATGGGTATTCATAAGTTCCTAGAACGGTTAATGATCAGTGGTGGACAGCTGAATTGTGTAATCTCTTTATCAAAATAGACATAGCTTGGGATTAAAGTATGCACATTGCGTGAAATTTTCACAGTTGCTAGTCAATAACATGTACTTTATCCACGTGCTATTTTTTGTGGAACGGAGCGAGTCACATTATTCTTTTACAATATTGTTTTTCTAAACCGGTCTATTTCTTTTGACTCTGCGATCATTGAACAGTCATAGTAATAAGATTCAATGTTGTTCCTGTAACAAAAAAAGGTCAATATTGTCATACTGCGGACCAGCACTCATCCGTTGGTGAATGTGTTGACATCATACGAGTACTGCATAATAATTATGTTTGCAGGGGCTGGTAGCCAAGCAAGATACAGTTACTAGAAACTTTGCAGCGTACAATGGGACGTTGTTTGCCCCGGAGGATATAATCGATGAAAAGAAAAGCATTGTCGATGTGTACACCATCTCTTGAGAAAGAGAACAAACCTCTAGAATCAAAGAAGTGGATTTGTCGACTTGAAGAGCGCCTAGGGGAATTCGGCATAGACTAGTGTCATTTAAACAGGGGAGAAGTCATGAAAGTGTTGCTGTTAGAGTAACACAACCACGCTCATGACTAGACTAGTCATTATTGTGCGAGATTACACGGCCAGAAGTTGACGTTTGGGGTGGAATAGGTGTATTCCTTGCATTGCCATACAAATTTGTTGCCATGGTGTATAGTGGCTTCACAGATATTGTTTGGCAAAGCCGCACATTTTATCGAGCAGTCAACTAGCTTCGTTTGGAGTTAATCCGATCATCGATAGCCGATAAAAACATCGATAATCCGCATCGACCACAGGCAAAGAAGGACAAAAGAACACATTGATTTACGTACGTAACGGGCTGCACCAGTTAGGGTTTTACATGTAGCGCACAAAGCACAGAAACCGCCCATAGGCAATTTACTAATCGCGACATGACTATTTGATGATCCAAAGACTAGAGACACGTATGAGGCAGTAGAGGAGGCAGTAGAGATCCCAGTACCTCCGTGAGATAATCTACTGACTTTCATTTACAAAACTGAAAAACACAACCACAAAATGGGATGCTACAAACGCTGTCATCTAGTGGACTGGGCGAAGGATGTTTCCGATCTCCACGGACTGAAGCACATAGCGGGCGAAGGCGGAGTGTTGCGCCGTCTGATCTGGGCGGCGGTCACCCTAGCCGCGTTGAGTTACTTCATCTACCTTAGCACTCTGTCCCTCATTAGCTTCTTTCAGTACAATCACGTCACCAAAGTCGACATCAACTACGCGGACGAGTTGGATTTCCCCGCGGTGACTATCTGCAACTTCAACAAGTACCGTGAGTCGGCTTGGACCGAGCAAGACCTGAAGAATGTGGGCACGCATCTGGGTGAGTGTGGACTATTTTACTGTATTTCTGTATCCCAGAGAGATGTTGATATGGAGTGATTGTTTGTAAACTTTTTCAGTTGATTTCGAGTCAACTCCCAAACCAACTCGGTCCGAGTCAACTAGGTCCCAGGTCAACTCGGTCCTAGATTAATTCGATCCCGGGTCAACTCGGTCCCCAGTCAACTCAGTTGAATAATGCTCTAGCAAGGAACTAGTCCAAAAACTTGGGACTCTCAATACTGTGTATGACCGTCCCCAAACTAAATGTATTAAAAACATGCAATACAAGAAAACAGACTGGTACCTGAAGCAACCATTCCAACAACCCTTTCAGTAATGCATCATTCAACTGTGCCAAAAGAAACATCTGGCATGTCGGGTATAGGTTTCTACATCAGCCACCAAACTAATGACACTGAATGAAGAGGTCAGTATTTTCAAATACATGTAGTTGGACCATGGTTGGACATGTAACAGTCTAGTCTTTAGCCTCATTTTGAAATCACTTGACTTCCCTCTCATGTGCAAAATATTGAAGAAAAGTCTCTTTTAAAAATTTAATTGAGTCTTCAAACTTGGTTGGTGACATATTGAGGACCCTATTTTTTATTGAAACCTCTGGAGAATTTTGTTGACTAGAGAGTGAGTAAAGTTTGATTTCGTTTTGCATCTTTTTCGGCACTCAAGGTTCCAGTCTGGCAAGGAACTAGGAGTTTCGTCTATAAAATAGTTCCATGGTTTAACTTATAAGTAAAGACTGCACCCGCAAAGAAACCGATGGATGAGATTTATCTTTAGAGTAGACTTGTGCAAGGCAACAGTGTTAATACGGCGATTGACTGTTAATACGGCGATTCCTTGCGAGCAGCTAATCATTACGGAATAGATGTCCTTACTGAGATTGCAGTTGTGCATAACGTTTACCGAGTGGGAGTCTAAAGTCACATCCAAGGCGTTCCAAACTACAATGGAAGATCAGCAGTCTTTGTGTCGACTTTCTGCAGACAAATTTAAATCTTTGTGCGATCTTGGTAGATAGTGGATGTGATTTTGGACCCCTTGTAAACCCCACTTGAATAAAACATACACCTGCTTTGTTATTTTTCTTAACACTTGGGATAGTGTAAGAAAGGTCAACACTGGTGAATCTGGAAGTACGTTGGTACAAAATTAAAACACGCCACAGTGTATTTACACAGATCATCTCCATACTGTTACACGAGAACAGGTCTAAAATGTGACATTTGATAAATTTTGAAAATTTGAATACATGACGTACCGTGTCTGGCGCCGCATCGTTGGAAGTTTTTACTAAAAAATATGTAGCCCAACGGCTCCCCCACCTCATACCCCCAAAAAATCCGACAAATGTATACAAGATTCACATATCTGTACCCTTTTCCCCATTATGTCAAATAGGTATTATTGACGAAGAGCACAATCTCATCAACCCATATTTGTACACGGAGGAATTCAGGCAGAATCTGGCGGCCGTTAACTGGTCGGAACAGGCCATCGATAATGACTACGATATGACGGAGTTTACCAACCGTACAGGGCACCAGCTGGATGAGATGATAGTGGAGGTGAGGTTAAAGGTCACAGAGGGCATGAGATGTATTTTCCAGTAAAATATCATAATTGAAAATATCCATGCCGCCGAATTGTATATAACCTAAAACTATTGGGACACATTCCACACATTTTCCAGTTAAAGGTAAAGGATAGATAATTCATTGTGCATTTTTTTTTCGTTTGAAGCAACAAAAAATGCGCACCCATTTACGGTTTCGCCGAACTACTAACGGAAATGTCAAAAAATGCATTACACTTGACTCATCTTTGAAAATGGCCTTCTTTTATTGTTTTGTTCAAAATGACATCGCGCCAGAAAATTATAAATCGATTATTATTGGCTCATATGACGGATCCGTCGTTGACCTTTAAAAACTTAGCGCAAAAACTTCTTAAACAAAAATGAAGGCAGACATGTCGTTGTGATATGCAATGTATACACGTACATATACCTTGGTGTCCTAGCAATGCAATTTTCTGCTCAGCAGTTTTCCGTGCTAAGCAACTCCGTGGAATTGGTTAAACCAATGGTTGGCGTAGCGGTACTTTCCTCGCCACCGCTGTGACCCGGGTTCGAATCCCGCTTTGGCCAATTTGTGGATTGGGTTTTCAGTCCCTACCTGATTCCGTGGGTTTTCCCTCAGAATATTCCTCTGGGCTCTTCCTCCCACCTCTAAAACTGTAATTTCTTCTCATTGTCTTCTCTCTTCGGGTTTCTTCAGGCTCCTTGATGGTTTCATTACCAGAAATAAATAAAATAAACACCATCGAATATGCCCCTACTGCAATGCAGTATTTTGATGTAGCCATTGTTCACTTTAGTGCCTCATTTTTCCCCCAAAGACGCTTCAGTTGTCGTATGGGCTATGGAGCTATACACACTGTCCTCATAACCAAAATGTTTCATTTTGCAGTGTACATGGAAAGGATTGGAGTGCTCTCATGAAGACTTTCATCACGTCTTTTCTCATCTGGGAAACTGCTACACATTCAACCATGTGGAGTCAGAAGACGAGCGCCATTCGACCATATCCGCCGGCGTAGGTACGTTACAGACATCAACACGAACCATCCCGCCATACATTTTTAAAAATCGTGCCTTTCAAGCTACATAACAATTCTATAAATTCTTTTGGTAATTTTTAAACTTAAATTGGTTATTTTTTTAAGAACTTTTTTTACCTAATAATAATATACTGTTCTAACGATTAATTGTGTGTGTAGGTGAAGAAATAATTTCTAGTAGCTTAGGTACACTCTGAGTAGAACAGATAACGAAGACGAGGAATTTTTAATGAGGTCATTACTTTGACTTCAACAATAGCTTTATAAATCGCGAGATTTTACCTTCCGCAATCCTGTTTCCAATCATTACAAAGTGAATTTATGTAGTTTCGAATGTTCCCAAATAACATTTATTGCCATTAACTGCATTGTAGCCAATGGACTGAAGTTGACCTTGAATATCCAGGAGGAGGAGTACACGCCTAGCAACGACCTAGACGGAGCAGCCGAGGATGCAGGAATCAAATGGATGCTGCATCATCCTTCAGAACCACCTTACGTCAAAGAGCTGGGCTTTGGGGCCGGGCCCGGCCACCACAATTTTGTTGCAGTTCGTCACGAACAGGTAGACCTACATAGAAAGAAAGTATCAAAACAGTTTTATAATAACGCACTATACAATACTTGTTATTACCTGCCACTTATTAAATCTTATTAAACCTGTCCCTAGGTTAGGGTACAAAAGCATTTTTGCTTCACCCAAACCTAAATGATGTCCTTTGTGTAATAATTTGATATTAACTTCACCTGTAATATTGTATTTCAACTTATTGTAAACAATGTACATTTCCAAGGACAGCATTGAAATAAATGTACTATACTTGAATAATAAAATCAGTTGCCCACTTAATAAAGAACGGAAAAAAAATCGAATAGATATTTGCGGCACAATAGTTTGGTTTTCGCATGGTAAACTGATACCCGCCCAACTGTCATGCACTATCGATAATGTTGGCTCCGGGAACCATTGCACTTTTGTGCAGTAAAGAGCGCTTAATTCAATTGGAGTATTTAATTTCCAAGGTGTAGACAACCCTTCTCCTAAAAAAAATGCACCTTAGTGCCCCATTTAACCTTATTTTACATTTTTGCTTTGCCATTTTTTTTTTTAGTAATGCGAATTTCGGATTTCCACATTTATTAGCAGAAGTGGGATGTAGTTTCAGGCAGAAACCTCAATGTTACTGTTATTTAGCACCATAAGTCGCCAGGATATGTTGGCTAGTTTGCTGTCGTAAATTTTCTTTTGTGATTCCTTGTTGTTTATGCCAATTAATGGGCAAACGTTTCTTACAAATGTTTTCATTGAGCAAACGTTTGGATTCACAATTTGAACGGAAAACTGAAAGGTGTCTTCCTAAAATGACATCACAGCAACAGCACCCTCAGTTGTCAGGAAAAGCATGGGATTTTTTAAAAGTTCAAAGAAATGCATTTTCAATAAAATGAACCAAAAAGGGATGTAAAATAGTTCGTATATATTTAAGAGGAGTAGAAAGTTGCACAAAATATGTCTTAAGTAAACCTAATTTCATGAACCCTTTAAACTAATGCACGGGCGTTTCTTCTTTTTTTGTAACAGATAACAAACCTGCCCTGGCCCTACACAACTTGCGAAGGGGACGGAAGCCTGCAGTACTATGACCACTACTCGCTGCAAGCCTGTCGTATCGAGTGCGAGACCGATCTAGTGGTGGAGCAGTGCGGGTGCCGACTGGTCGAGCAGCCCGGGACTGCCCCGGTCTGCAACCCGGCCGAGTCGCACGAGTGCGCTCATGTTGTCCTACGTAAGGTTTACTTGATCCATTTTTATGCTCTCTCTTCTATGCTCATTTTCTATGCTTTTTTTCTGTCTTAGAACTTATTTCCTTGGGTTGTGAAAATGATCTGTTACCAGAAGACGAACTTTTAAGAGGAAACTTTAATTTTCTAGAATTCCAATTTTAGGTCTAGAAAATTGTAGAAACTAGAAATGTATAATCGAGCTAATCACAAGTCAATTAAGTCACAGACTAAGGAAGAACAATGAGAACAGAATACGTTTGCAATAGTCCAATTGACTAATCTGTCACTTGAAAGTGAATGACAAGTGATGGACATGTGATGTTTCGTTATGATAGTTGTGGTTACTTGTGCTTGACTTGTGATTGAGTTGTGATGGCTTGTGATTGACTTGCGCTGGCTTGTGATTGACGTGATGGATTGATTACAAGAACTTGAATAGCCCACATATTTTGGGCATAGTGCATTTTAACATTTAACACTGGGTAGAGGGAGACTGACAACACAAGTGCACTGTCGAGACCATCACAAGTCAAGTCGAGGGCAAATCACACGTTCTTTCACTGAAACCAGGTCATGAATAACTGAATAAAACGTTAACAAAGTTGTCATTATTTTGAATAGCTTGTAACTGGATCTGTGACTGAATTCCTTTACTTGTGATGGGCTTGTGAATAACTTGTGGTAAACTCGACTACTGCAAAACAGTTCTGTGGGCACAGCGGCCACGTTCCGGACAATTTATCTATTCGGTTATAAATACTGAAAATGAAACTAAGAAAAAAATACACTGAATATTTTAGCAGGCATTTTTGTTGAAATGTGACCGATAACCAAGCTTCAAATGATTTTTTTTTCTGGGCGTGTAGTTCAAGCGGTAACTGGTACTTTAGAGACTTCCTGCGATTGTAGGGCACCGTGCGAGATCGAGGCGTACCCCTTCACCTCCACCAACGTCAAACTTCGCGCCAACTTCATAGAGACAATATACAGCAACAGCACTACGCACAACTTCACGGCTGAATACATAGAGTAAGTATAGTCTTTCACGAGCTAATGTGCCGTTTCCTTGCCATGAAACGACTGAGTACTCCCCTTTGATAGGATGACAGTCCATCGCAGGTTACTCCCCAGCTAATGCCGGTACCAATTTATACTCCTGGGTGGAGAGAGGCAGATGGGGATGAAGTGGCTTGCCCAAGGACACAAAAAGCGTGTGGCCAGGAGCTGGATTTAAACCCTGAGGCCCAGTGGCGGCGGAACGGTTTTCAAATTGGGGGGCATCACCAAAAAAGGGGCAATTGCACATCCGTACCGAAACGTTGACACGTTTTTTTCACCGGACACTTGGCCTCCGTTAAATCAAATAGTGGGGAGGGGGGTACAAACTATGCATTATGTGCCCATTTTCAGGGCGAATTGTAAGGGTTTTGGGGCTTGGTTTTCATATTCCTCGTTCATATCAGAAATCTCTATACCACTTTGGGAAATGGTTACTGAAAACAAATTATCCACAATTTCAGGGCCAGTTTTGTTTTCATCTCGAGGGGGAACATTATATGCCCGCAAAAGGGGCACTAGGGTAAATCTGGGGGGGGGGGGAGAGGCAATTGCCCCCACCCCATCCCCCGGTTCCCCCTGCCTAGGCCACACCCCCAATAGAGTAAGGGACCAAAATAATTAATAGTAGGAACGATTACAGATGCACGCCCCGTGCTCTCATTTTCTCTCCTAACAAAATTTGTATATATGTTTTGTTTAAGCGAAAAAAACTAATTTTTTCGAACTTTGGCGCTGGCGTCAGCAACTCTCTGAGAAAAAAAAAGGAATTGTTATTTTGCTTTGACGCCTGCACAAAAGCTCTCAAGGCTCGAATGTACTTCACCTTCTATAGTGCAATAAATTGATTGCTTTCCCCCTTATTCCCCTACAGAAACAACCTGGTGCTGCTGTCTATCTATTTCGAGGCACTCAGCCATGAAGTAATTGAGCAACTTCCAGAGATGACGGTTTTTAGTCTATTGGGTAAGGCTGATTTAGAGATGGCATTAACTTAGTAGATCTGAAAATATTTAACCTAGCAACATTTTTGAAAAGGTTAAACTTTGGAGAAAATTCTACGACACCGTTTCAGACTGACGATTTATTCTTTCAAAGTGGCTGAAACAATTTTGAAATAAAAATCAGTTTCTCGATGGTTGACATACCGATTACACACTCATTGTGTGAGACTGTGAGATCTCACACAATAAAATATTAAATTGTATGTCAAGGTGCGCTGAAGCAATCTACACGATTTTCTCAGAAAATCCTACTTCCTAGTAGCAAAAAAGTAGGCCTATATACCTTTCTTACAGTATACATAAGAGAAAGTTCGTTCGATCAACAACACTGTGGCTTACTAAAGTGAAACGAACCTTCGTCAGAAACGCTAGTTAATGATGGCCCATGCCAACTAGTTAGTAGTCGAAACTACTGACAACCAGCATCGCCGCGTGTGTTGCAAAAAGGGACGTTTGTGATGATTTGACGATCGCCCTCTTGCGATGGCGCGCAGGCTCCAGATGATTCGAATCAACCAGCGGTGTTGTAGTTGAGTCCACAAGTCAAGTCAGAAATAAATCCAAATCCATTCACAAATAGCAAGGGATGAACAATAACGATGAAACCCCTTTGTCAAAGTTTGACTCCAATCGGGATGGGTGACTTGTGTGATGGACTTGTGAGGACTTGCATGGACTATAAGGGGTCCGCGCATAAGTTCGACGCCTCATAGGTCCGACGCCTCATAAGTCCGACAAAATTACATCCCCTAACCAAATAAGGGCCCATAAGTCCGACGCCTCATAGGTCCGACGCCTCATAAGTCCGACGCCTCATAGCTCCGACGCCTCATAGCTCCGACGCCTCGGAAGTCCGACAAATTAAACGCCTCGTTTTTCCGTTGTCGGACTTATGAGGCGTCGGACTAATGAGGCGTCGGACCTATGAGGCGGAATAAATAAATTGTATGCCTCATAAGTCCGACGCCTCATAAGTCCGAAATTTCGGACTTATGAGGCGTCGGACCTATGAGGCGTCGGACTTATGATACGGCCCCGACTATAATGGGAATCGACTACATACAACACTCAGTGCAGGTAGTGTCAACCATCGATAGGATTTGTTCATATAGCGCCCTCTAGAGATCAATTTTATACATTCTAGTTCTGCCCTGTGCGATATTGTAAGGACGTGTCCAAAATCTTGTGTCAGTAGAGTTAGGTCTAGGTCTTCGCTGGTTGCAAATAGGCCTACGTGGGCACATGCTGACAATAGACGTAGCCGTAACTCTGGAAGCCTATTTCGGACAAAGCAACACCTTCTGATAAAACCTATTTTCATTTTTTGCAGCCACTCTGGGCGGTAACTTCGGTCTGTTCCTTGGTGGCAGTGTCTTGACTATATTGCAGTTGTTGGAGTACCTCTTCGATGAGACCACCGCGTCTTGCACTTGCAACACCAAGACAAACCGCGTCGGTGATTCCCGCGCAAAGCTGACGGCCAGCAAAGAGAAGGATGTCGAAAAGGTCGAGGACAGCATATCAATTATCGATATTGGAAAAAATGGCTCGACGGATAGGTAGATTTCAAGATGAGAAAAATAAAAGACTTGTAAATTTACCACTGTATTTACCACTATCCACCTTGCCATTTTATACGCCGCGTGTTTTGTGTGTGTTGACCACAAACCCCACTTTTTTACTTCGGGGCAAAATTGTGCACTTTATATGAGGTTGATAATGCCAGTGCCGTGCTCTTAAAAAAAGATAAGTGGCAAGAATGCCCGGAAATGTTTATTTGATTTCTTTTTGATAGGCCCATATACTTAACAACGGAGAAAGCTTTTTGATAATATAATGTCCACAACATCTGTAACATATTTTTCTTGTTGAATCATTGGTTTCTTAAAGGGAGCCCTCTTTTGTTGCCGTGTATTGGGGCATTGGGCAACGGTAATGATTAACAAAATCTGTAAAAATGATGTGCATGAAATTACCTTTGCCTCAATAATCATTAGTTGCCATTCTACGGGAGTTTCATCATAAGTTTTACACATTTTTTGGAGCAACGCTTTGCTTTTGTAAAATAAGCATTAGGAAATATTCATAAATCACATTTTGACTATGAATTGTGAATAAAGTTTGTCAATGTGTATTCTTTCAATTTGCGTCTTAATTTCCTCTTGATTTCTTTAGAACCAAATTTCTAAATTTAAAAAAAAATGAAGAAGGTCGCTTTTGGTATTCCGCTCAGTTTGGGTGGGATTTGTGGTTTTATTATTTGGTTGGTTGAAGGAAATTGCATGGTTTTTGATGGGTCATTGCGGATCAGCCGGATCGGAAATCTGTCATAAAACCGAGGGTTTATGGTCCAGATGGAGACGTCGTTCAGAGGTTAACCACTCTGCAATGGTTGAACTTCTCTGAACTTGAGACAATCGGAGGGTTTTTAGTACGTTGACTTGTACTGCCGCTTTAGTTGCACTCGGTGACTTCTGAGTTTTCATATTCCACACTTTTAGTTTTAGTCGACATCAAACTCGATAACAACCATTTTTCTAGTCGAAGTCAAAGTTTATCAGCAACTTTTCAATCAATGTAAAAACCAAGAACAGTCAACAAAGCATGTCTACAGTGGGGAACTGTTGACATGAGGAAATAATTTAAGCTACACTTTGCGTGACTCGACCAGATTCAACTCCATAGTGTGCACCTCCACAGATTCATCTTGGATTTTTTCTTTTTTAACAATTTGCAGGAAACAAAAAAAAATGAGTATTGACAATTTTGACATTGTCTTCATGACTGTTTTCGACTTTTGAGGGCATTGACCTTTTGCGTGTCATGGTGTTTTTCCTTTCTTTTCCCTGAAACCCCACCACCACGCCGTAGGCCAGAGACTTATCTCATTAAGATCCCCGACATTTAGTAAATTGCGCACAAATTAATGTCTGGTTTGGGCGAATATAGAGAGTTCCTCAATTTCCGAACTGATTAGGTTTTAAGCTTGGTGGTTGTCTGACCACCGACCATATTGGGGGTGTTTTTTTGGAAGATAATTAGAACAGTTTCGCTTAACTATGTTTGTTCAAATTGGAAACAAGTTTGGTTTTCATTGGTACACGGTCACGTGTGCCCTGAATGAAAAGGAGGCTGTAATGGCAAACTTCATGCTTAGCAGCCTCCATGCATGTACATGTAGTTATAGTAATAGTCTTAGTGTGCAATTTGAGCCTCGCTTTAACTTGGTTCCAATAATTATGGCGAATCCGTGCAATGAGGTGAAAGTGAGGAATGGCTTTTCAAAACAAAATTAACTATGCAGGCGAAATGAGTTAGTTCTTGAACCATCATTTTTAGTCCGAGATCCTGAATGATGTGATGTTGATGATAAGTGAAAAGTACACATGCAAATTTCATAATCTCAAAAACATTATTTTTTGATAATGTTGACGCCTATTCTTGCTGTATGAGGTTTGAGAAAAGGGCCACATTTACTTAAGCTAGGATCATTTTATTGGCAACTATTAAAGGGTTGTTTATTCGTTATAAATTAGAACATCAGAAAGTGACAAAATACTTCTACTTCCACCCAAACTGCCGCGCGTTCCTGTGTCTTTCCCTCCATATTTTCAACCCAATTTTTCGCATTGCACTTCTTAATTTTTCTCATTAAAAAGTACCCCTAAATTATTGATAAGTTGGTTTAAAATTGAAGAAAAATAGGGAACTAGGGCCTTGTGGTCAAACTGACCGTAGCTCCAGTTTAAACGGCTATTTGGCCAGAAGGTTAACCCTGACTAGGTCATCCCCGCTGACCATTGGTACACACTGGCGGTCACCCCGTTATGATCATAATTCGCTGTAATTCGAGAAAATCTTGTAACATCACAGTTCTTAGCGTGACGCCATCTTTTGTGACGTGCCGCTGTTTGACTTTGAAAATGTCGGCACTTCACGCCCGGAGTTAAGTTTTCTTTTCGGTCAAAACAGTTATCGTTTTAATTGTTGTTTTTTCCCACAATTTTTATAGGCCTAGGCCTACTTATGTACGAGGTTTTCAAACAAAATTAATATCTAGAATTCAGCTTTATTTTAAGGTTATTTTTTTCTGGCGATTTGATAGATCGAGTACGATCAAATATAGCCTTTTTCACAAGGTTTAAGGCATTTTTCAAGCAATAACGACATACGACACTGTAGGTGATTTGGACTAGGAGACACTTTCCAGGCTCAATTCAATCTTTTGTATTCTTGCAAATGCAAACAACCAAATTTGGTAGCTCCACATAACGGTAATTATTTGTTTTAATAATGCCACTATAGGACAATTGAATTCAGGACATTGTGAAGTGATAGCTCCTTGAGTAACGTCTAAGGAACACGGCACTTAAGAGATGCTATACATCTGGGGGGGGGGGGGGCCACTTTCGTCCAATATGCGCCCTTTTGGGCACTTAACGCGTTTCTCACGAACCGATTGTAGTTGGAAAGATCATTAAGTAGGATTTACAAGTTTATACATATCTATACGGTTTTGTGTAACTATCGCACGAACGGATTTTACGGTACAAAATGTTGGTCCTGGACTGAGTCGAGACGTTCGGGAAGCGGCGCTAGTCGTCATTCCAGTCACACGTTTCTTTTCAATTTCAGAAGTTTCCTCAAACGCGTGGGCGCCTGGATCGTCACTGTGTGTCTTGCGTGGGACCTGATAATGCACACTTAACGTCGCTTACTTTACGTGTCATGCATCTCATGGGGCGCCAGTCTCATTTTGTTTCATTTTTTATGGGAAATTTGAATATTTTTCCAAAAATGTTTACAATTTTTTTGGGCCGCAGAAAAAAGGGTGTTTTGTTGTTGTTGTTGTAGTTGTTGTTGTTTTTTTCGGGGGGGACTATTTTGACGTTGGTGGCGCCATTTACACCCCTATTATACAACTCGAAAATAGACCACATACATATCACCACGGTCAATGGCGGCACTAAAAAAAAAATAGCCTACCCCCCCCAAAAAAAAACCCCACTACAACCTCTTGGGTGGGGGTGGGGGATCCAGCCCCCCGACCCCCCCCCCCCCCCCCCCCCCCCTGTGGGTGCGCCACTGCGATGCACTGCTGGAAATACGTATAGGCAAGGCACAAAATCGCTGCCGAGTCAGATATAAAGAATCGGATTTTTCAACATTTCCATAATGAATGTATGCAATTATGTGAAATATTAGTGACCAAGACCTCTGAAACTGGCTCTTTATAAACATTACGAAACCCCGTCTGTAGGCGTTCTTTGGACAAAACTGCCACACAGATTTTACCTCTCTGTTATCAAGACACATTTAACATCTGACAAGCGCTCCGAACCACCAATGGCAGACACTATAAGTTGGATGTCATCACAGTGACCATCTTACCAATCATACCCATGCATATCAGCCTAACGACGGATTTATACCGCGCTATCAGTTACGCGGTGTTTATCACAGGCATGTGTAGTATGCTGTAATTGCGACAAAATAGACGGTGGGAATTCGTCTGTATGTTTAAAAAAATGATGCTAATGTATTGGACCTTAGGGGCCGGCACATCTTTCACATTTTGTAGCCATTGATCGCCCTAGAATTTACATGCCTAGCCCTTGGGCGGACCCACTAGAATCTCCAGTGCGGAGCAAAAACAAACATTAATCTCGCTGGTCTACTTGACAGAAGGGTCATGATTCAAATCCGACATAGGCCTACCCGTATCGTGTTTGAAGGGCCCATGTGATGTGTCTTTTTTAATGTAATACTTGAAAATGCACCTTTGTGTCCCATGCATTTAACAGTATTTTCATTTTGCCATTTTCAAGGGCCCATTTTGGTGCTTTTTGGTTTTCATGCTAATGCGAATTTCCATATTAATGAGCAAAAGCGTGATGTCATTTCAGGCAGAAACCGCAGATTTAAAGTAGGCTACACATGATGCATACTTTGTGCAGTATATGTACATGCATACACGTAGCTTTTTACAGTAGACAAGTATATACACTCACCAGTTCTCTGAACATCAATTTTCCTTACAAAATTCCTTACATAACGTAAACGAACCCATGCCCATATTAATTTGCACAGGAACTGGGCCCATTTTGTTTTCCACAATAAAAAAGACATGGCAAGGTTTCATAGTGCATGCAAATCTATTATAAAATTAATTCATAATTGCTCTTCACTGGAAGTCCTGGCATGCATCGTCTACACAGTGGCCCCAAAATTTGGCCAATTCGTTGGTGTAATACAGGGTACATCCTATACGATAGCACTACCGGGTACTCTTTACCAGCCTATAACCAGTATAAGTCACGAGCGACAGTCAGTCAGTCAGTCAGTCGGGGAGTCACTCAGTCAGTCATTAGGGCCAGTCTTCTGGGACGAGCAAACCTTAAGTTCTGTCCCGTGACCCGTTTTCAATTGAATGCTAAACAGTGTACTTTATTCTTTTGATAACATTAGCAGCCAACATTAGACACTCGACTTTTTACATCGATCGATCGATCTGTGGTTTGTTGAATTGTTTATTTGCCTGTTTTGTTATTTGTGTCGATGATATGTCTGCATGTTCTGCGAGAACTGTGCTGTCCATTTGCTACTGAACATTGTGTCTCCAGGGAACTGGATTTGTTTTGTCACCGCCTAATAACATTCACTTGATACGAAATGAGGTGAGCTGGGGCCAAGGATTTCCACGCGAGGTTGACCGCTTGAAACGCGGCTACGCACCATTTACTTCGGCAACATGAGTGTGGGCGTGTTAATAGCCATGCCGTGGATTCCTGTGAGGGCGGTTTGTTTGAACTGGTTTTAATTAACCTTTAACGTTGAACTGCGACTTAATAATGGGAGGATCCAGATCAAAAGTTTCCAACATAGTCTAAAGATTCCCATATGTAACATGAATTAATAGAGGGAACTTTCTGAAACAGGGCAACATAAAACTGTGCCCACTCAGCTGTCAACAGAACAGTCTACTTCAACCAAGCAAGGGGTTTGATTTAAGGCTAAGAAAATTCTCGTTTTGAGAGGACTGAGGAACTCTCCTCTGTTTCCTGCGAAAGATGGGCTGATTTTACTTTTGTAAAATGAAATGAATTTTTTTTTTTTTAAGCCAGCGGCGTAACTACAAAATCG